ACAGGTCTTCATCTGGGAAAAGGCAAGGGTTTCTCCTGATGTCTTATTGTGGTAGTGTTCTGGAAGGCTGCCTTCAAGCACCATGTCATGTCTGGCATGAGATATCTTCAGTGGTTTGGGGGTGGTTCCATTCTCCCTGTGAAAGTTGATGGTGACTTGATGAGTATGAATTTACTGGTTGATTTAGGGACCAGTGAAATTCAAGGATGTGGCTATAATTTTCACTGAGGCAGAGTGGAAGAGACTGAGCCTTGAGCCTGAGCCTATACAAAGAAATGCTGGCATTTCAGGAATCTAGTTATGTTGGGTGAGAACATGTTCTCTTCCTTTTTCCATTCATATATTCATTGACCATTGAATAAAATAATAAAGCATTTTTTTGATCACAGAGCTTACATTCTAGTATAGGGACACTGATATATACAGTAAGCAGCATATATAAGTAAATTATGTATGTTAAAGAATAATAAGCTCTACAGAGTTAAGAAGTATGTATAATTATACAAATACAAGTAGAGCAGAATAAGGGGGACCCAGAGTGCCAGGGTGTAGAGGAAGCTGGCTGAATGAGTGACCAGGGTTGGCATCTGTGAGGAGATACATCTGAGCAAAGGCTTGAAGGAAGTGCGGAAGTTAGATATGCGGGTGTGGTGGGGAACTGTTCCAGGCAGGGGAGCAACCAGTGCTGAGACCCCGAGATAGGAGTATGCCTGGCCTTTTTGAAGAAAAGCAAGGGGGCCAGCGTGATGGGAGCTCAGAGAGCAAGGAGAGCAAAGTAGTGAGTGAGGCCTTCTGTGTCCTAGAAGTTAAAAAAGCTTAAAGCATAATTAAATCTGTTAGTTTTATGTTTCACAGATTATTTGGTATCATAAACCATATTTTCATTTATTTAAAACTGATTATTTGTCTAGGTTGGCAAATACAAAATTATTCTGGATTTTCCTGAGTTCTTAAAAGTCCTATTTTCAGAGTGGCACATAAATTTCTGTCAAAAATTTTTTTCAAGGTTTTTCTCTATTTGGCATAGCTATGAATTAAGTAGTTCTGATTTGTTCTGTTTTTATCTGCTTGGATCTATTTTGCACTGCTTTCATCAGTTTGAATTGGCCCCATTTCAATCCATTTGGCTTCTGGCCTAGTTTCTCCAACTATTTCAGTGTAGATTTACCCACTTAAATTTGCTTTCACCTGGCCAGTCTAATTTGGTCTTATTTTTATCTTGTTTCATCTGGTCTTCTTCTCTATCTCTATGCTCATGCATTTTATTGATTCTGAGGACTATATTAAAATTGCCTTAAAATAACCCGATTCAAATTATATTAATCTTTACACTGAAACTTTGGATCCTATTGGATCCATTTCAGTCTTTACACTGTTTTGCTACACTTCATTCATCCTTCCCTTTCTCTGTATATCTTTTTTTCCAAATCCCAAATAATGTGACATACCACTCCTAAATATATCACATTGTAACTAATAAGTAAGGACTTTTAAAAAATATATAACCACAGTATCATTATCATATCTCACAAAATTATCAGTAGTGCTTCAGTATCATCTAACAGTTAGTTCGTGTTCAGATTTACCTGACCATCTCAAAAAAGTCTTTTTGCCAATTTGAATCAGGATCCAGACAAGATCCACACATTCCATTTTTTTAAACTGTCTGTTAGATCTGTATCAATTCTTCTTCCCTCTCCTGGTTTTTTCCTCCAGGCCATGGATCTGCTGACATGCTCTGAATCTAGAATATAAAACTATTTTAGATAATATCATAAGATAGTTTTTGCATAGTAGGTTGTAAATCAAGGAAAATAGTTCTGAATCTTCATCAAGAGGTGTTCACCAATATGGAAAACATCACATCACCAATGGCATTGCTGCTTGTAGTGTTTTAGTTACCACCCATACAGCATACCTGTGTCTGTGACCAACAGAACATACACATGCCATCAATCAGGCCCATCCATGTTTATCTACATTTGTAGCTGGCGTGTCCACAGTGATCTGCCTATAGCTGTAAGCGTATGATTGCTTCATTATGTCTCCTAATGTAGTCCTTCCAAGAAATTCATATTGAAATGCATAATGTTTTACTGTAAATTACTTTCCTTTATTTCTCTTTTATATTTTTGGTTTTAGGACATAACATTATTATAAAAAATTCTGTGTATAGGTATTTTATTAAATATGAATTTCATTTCAGGAAAGATATTATAAAACATAGACTATAAAAAGGAGCCTTTGGTTCTGAGAGTGTTGAGAACATGTGTCTGTTTTCTGCCTAACTTTTTAGTTCTTTCTTAATTAACTCTGCTCCTATCACTCATTCTCTCAAAAATATTTATTAACTATTAAATGTTAGGTCCAGTTCTGGGTTCTTGGAATATACCAGTGGTATATCTGGGAAAAGGGTGTTCCAGACATAGGAACCAGCCAGTGCATGGCATCAGGAGGAGAGGTCAGTGTGACCCAGACTGGAGTGAACAAAGGATGGAGAATAGACGGTCAGAGAGCCAGTAAGTCACGAGAGAAAGTGGGACCTTGTGTGCCACTGTCGGGAGCTTGGCTTTTACTCTGAATATTATAGACTTAAAAAAAAAAGGTGAAGAGTCTTGTTTATTAGAAATGTAGAATAAAGAAGGAAGAGATTAAAATTGGTTTTAGTTACCCGCTTCCACCCCATTCTTCTATTCCTGATCCCAGGGCAGAACTCTCCTGGCTCCAGGAAATACTTCCTTTTGGATGGATGAGGGTCCTGGCAGGATTGGGGTCAGCAGGTCCTCTGGAGCAGCATGGCTTAGCCACCTCTCATCCTGTCCTGAGAGAATCAGTGCAGTTGGGCTGGGTGTCTGGGATGTCTGGATGGCAGCTTTACAGCCTGAGACTGTGGTCAAAGCCCAGAACATCCCTACCCCCAGATGTAGTCTCTAGGCCAAATTTGGTTGCCTTTTTCCCGAAGAAATTGATCTGTCAGAGGGCGTAATTCTCACTAGCTGCTTCTCTCCAAAGCAGCCAGAGTCTCACATTTGCTTAGAAGCTTTTCTATTCTTCTTTAAAGACAGACTTAGTAGAACATAAACATTTGAGTGCTAATTAGTTCAGAGTTATCTGTGGCTTGTGTTGTGTTTAAAAGCGCATCCTGAACCCTGTTTTGTTTCTTCGTACTTTGTGACTGTGGACAAGTTACTTAACCCCTCCAAACCTCAGTTTCCTCATCTATGAAATGATAATAGCAGGATTAAATTTGATTTTTATCCAAAGCACTGGATAGCAAAATGCTGGGTCCATAGTAAACGTTATTTATTATGGTAAGTAATAATAATAATAACAATTTTTACAACCCAAATGTCAGGTAATAAAACAAAGGCCAGCAGAACTTACTGGGAAAAAAATTTGAGTTTATTTAATTGTCAGGTAAAGGTATAAACCAGTAAAAGAATTTTTTACTAAATGGTTCACAGGGAGAGAAATGTCAGGGATGATTAAGTACTAGGAAGGCAGTTTTATGGCATCTGTGTTATAACTAGCATTCTGCATTGGATGAAATGAATCAATGGATCCATACATGTTTGGTTAAAACAGTCCCCTTATTTATTAGTCAGCAAAGAATCTTCAGTTAGCGCCAATAGTCTGGCTTCTTGAGATTACAAAAAGTTCATGGTTTATCATCTTCAGCTGGTTAGAAACAGTTGTGATTCAATTTTGCTATTTCTTAGGTAGGTAAGTACAGCCAAAAAGTGAAATTTCTGTGTATGTCGCTTTGTGGAAAACAGAGAAGAGCAGATATGGGACTGATTCGGGAACTAAGAGCCAAGTTTAAGTTAGTTGTGCCTGTCTACTGCTGAATCTCCACTTCCTGGTAGAACCTGATGGCATAATAGTCCTCTAATGAACACCTATTAATGAATAGGGAAACTGAAATGAAGGTTTCACATATGCACTGTTTAGCAGCTCTTCTATACTGACTTCTGCATTTGAGACATCCAGGCTGAATGACTCTTACATCAATCCATTCTTTCTTCTCATAGGAAAAGTCACAAAGGACATTCCCATATAGTCATAAAGATTGTTCTCTTGTTGGAAATAAATGGCTGTGGCTGTGTGTGTTAATATAAATGGTTATGGCTTAGAAGATAATTTTAGTAAAATTGCAGATACTTGCAGAGCTAAAGATGCCTCTGATGCTTACTTAGAAGATTCCTTATTGGGATAATATGTAGAATAGGTTTTGCTGCAGGTTTTTTGGATTCATGTAAAAGATATAGTGTGTAAAAATTGAGTGTAGTGCATAATCTGAATCTAATCATGGGAAATGTTCTATGCATATTCCTGAACATAAGGAGTGTTCTTTAAAAAAAAGAACTGTATCCTTCAAAAATGCCAGTTTCATGAAGGATACTAAAGGAAACTAAAGGACCATGATAACTAATTATAATAACTGATCGTAGACTGGATTGTGTACTGGAGGGAAAAACGCTATAAAGAACATTATTTGATTAATTGACGAAATTAGAATATATATGATAGATAAAAGTATTATGTAAATGTTAAATTTACCAAAGTTGATAACTGTTTTGTAGTTATGAAAGAGAATATCCCTACTTTTATGAGACACATACTGAAGTATTTAGGGGTAAAGGCCAGGATATATGCAGTTTACTCTCAATGGCTCAAAGAAAAGTATATACATACATATACATGTACACACACATACATATACAATATATAAATGTTAGCAATTAGGTATTTTGGGTAAAGGGTACACAAATATTCTTAGTATTGTTCTTATTCTTGCAGCTTTTCTGTATGTTTGTAATAATTTTCATATAAAAAGTCAAAAGAGGTTGAATGGAAATACAGATCTGGTAAAGCATGTCTTGGGGAGACATTAATCATTGTGAGTGATTAATGGGCTAGATCTTACCAGAAGACAGGGAAGAAAAGCCCTATCAGCCCTTCCTATGACTGTTGTGACTGAAAACTTTCTTTTTCAGCAGATTCCAAACCAGAAGTTCATCTCTGGCCCTCCTGCCCTCTGGCCTTTGGCAGTCATCAGTTTCTCAGCCAACATAAGCTACCCAGTCATCCTATCCAGATTTCTGTGTAGAAAACCAACTCCACCCAGGGGATCCTTGGCCAGATGACCAGCAGCAACAGCAACACATTCTGATAAAAACCACTGGGGGGGCCAAAGCAGAAGACCACGGAATGGGAGTCTCTACACCTTTGCTTCAGAGTGCAGCTGAGAAGGGGACTTCAGTGGTTTTCTCTAGTCTACCCCAGGGACCACCAGTAAGCTCTTGGGGAAGAAGCAAAGTGTTGAAGGTACAGCAGTCTGGCGCAGAGGGTAAGCTCTGGGGAAGCAGACAAAATTCTTGAGAGGGTAGAAATCTCAGGATTTGGAGCAATCTAGTTTGGAGAGTGTGGACTAGATTTTAGCCAGAAGTCAAACCTTTTCAGACATAAGGCTATCATGGGGGAAAATCTTGTGTGTGCAGGGAGTGTGGGGAAAGCTTTAGAAGAAAGTCTCATCTCATCAGACATGAGAGGACACACACAGGGGAAAAGCCTTATGTATGTGAGGAGTGTGGGCAAGGCTTTATGGATGAGTCAGCACTCCACAACCCCCAGAGTACACACTCAGGTGAGAAGCCCTATGTGTTCAGGGAGTGTGGGCAAGCTTTTAGCTGCAAGGCACACATCATCAGGCATCAGAGGACACACACAAGGGAGAAGCCCTTTGTGTGCATGGTGTGTGGGTGAGGCATTAGTGAAAAGTCAGACCTCAGTAAACACCAGAGGATTCACACAGGGGATAAGCCATATGTGTGCAGGAACTGTGGCCGGGGCTTTAGGGTGAAATCACACTTCATCACACACCAGAGAACACATTCAGGGGCGAAGCCTTATGAGTGTGTGGTGTGTGGGCAAGACTTCAGTCACAAGTCAATTCTCAGTGCACATCAGAGGATACACTTAGGGGAAAAGCCTTAGGCATGCGGGGGATGTGGGCAAGATTTTGGCCTTCAGTCAGCCCTCATCAGACACCAGAAAACACACTCAGGAAAAAGCCTTAGGTGTGCAAGAGGTAAGGGTGTGATTTTAATAACAAGTTAGCTGTCAGCCACATCAGAGGACACACTCAAGGGAGAAGCCTTAATAGTGTGGGCAAGGCTTTAGGTGGACGTCACTCCTCATCACAGAGCAGAAGACATGCTGAGGGAGAAGCCTGACATACAGGGAGTGGCAGTAAGGTGTTAGCTGGAGGTGAACTCTTAAGAAACACTGGGAGTCAAATCTCTCCACCATCCTTCACCACCCCACTCGAGCTTTGTGAGGGCCTCAGGGACAGTCTTCTGACCCCTTACACTCTCTGTGAGTATGAACATGGCAGAGGTCTAGCCTCTGATAACAGAGGTACCAAGTGATGGTTCTCTTGGAGAAGCAGTCTTTGCTTTTAACTACTTCCTTCTGCAGCTGTGTCCTTTCATTGGCTTCTATGACACTCTTCTGTTCTGTATTTGTCTGTGTCTCTAGCCTTTGCTGCATCCTCTTCTACCCAGCCTTAGCGTATTGTTGAGGGTTCAGTCTCTAGCTTTCCAATCTGAGGGACTCCTTAACTATGTCTCCTAACCCTCCAGTTCCAAACTCAGGTCCCTTTAACCACACCCCCAGAGCTCTTCAGTCTCAGGACTTAAACCTCAGAGCCATACTATTTGGCTCTCCAGTGACATGGATAAGGTTACTAGCAATGCCTCACCATCAGCCTTCCAATACCAGGTTCCAGAGCTTTTAAACATAGCCGCTCCTAAGCCCTTCAGTCTCAGTGCCCCTCAGTCCTCCAATAATGAAATGGTTCTAAGGCCCTTTGAACCAAACCCTCTCTCACTTGTCTTGCATTCCAGGGGCCAAATGGCCCGGATTCCTGACAGTTTGCCTCCCTCTCTTCTTGGCCCTGGCACTGAATGTCAGTGGGTGTACCCTGGAGGGCTCTCTACTCAGGCCTCAGTGTCTTTATATGCCAAGAGGATATTTGCCACAGAGAGGAAGGAGAGAGAGATTTCTTTAACACCTGCTCCCTCCTCCAAAAAAAACTGGCTTGGTTTTGGGCTGGAGGGGGAAAAAAGAGGAGAGATAAAAGGGGTTGTTGGTCCAGAGGCCTTTGTCCAATCCCTCTCACCTGGTTGTCTCCAGGGTTAGCTTGGTTGGGGGTAAGGGCTGGAGCACCTGGAAGGTTCTCCCCACCCAGTTTCCATGGAGATGAGGATAGGACCTTTTAACGTCAGCTGAAGTTGCTGTCACTGGTTCCCTCCCCTCCTCCTCCCTGAGCAGTGGAGGCACCCCCATTACCCTACTCCACTTTTGCACAGTTTTAACATCTCAAGAGGTCTGTGTTTAGAGCCACTTTCCCATGGTGCTTTGTGGGAGTGCTCTCTACTCCATCCCGGGGTCCTGGTTTTCTGCAGCTGTTTCCAGCATCATTCCCTCCTCTCCCTTGCCTTATTGCCCTTACTTTCCACATCTTGAGATGGACCTTCATTCCCTGACCTCAGCAAAACCTATTTCTAGGCCTTACTTTGGGAGGGAGAGGCCCTCCAGCTAGATTGCAGCTAGTTGTTCACGGTGGTGACCACCTCAGTACCCTATTTTTGGGTTGGCTTCCTCTGTCCTGTTTTACTCTCCCACTGCCCCACTCTTGTTTTCTGAGATCAATTCCCAAAATAAACTACCTGCTCATAAGCCCTTATTTCCTGCTCTGCTTTTAGGGGAACTGGAGCATAGGCACAAGAGCTGAGGGGAGCGTAAGTCTGTGACTCGTAGAACTGCTAAACCAGAGGACGATCCCTCACCTGATCACTTGTATTGGGAGGCTTCCCTTTTAAATTTACATTCTCTGGGAGCTCATGACCTCAGTTGTTTTCTTACTCTCCTGTATCCTTACCCTGTCCCTCTCTAGAGCCTGTAAGTGAATTTATATTCCACCAGTCCTTCAGAACGTCCCTCTGAATTTCCCTTAAACCTACTATATTCTTCCTTAAGTCACAAACAAGAAAACACTATATTCATTGTCCCCATTTCCTCAAATCCAGGTTCTCCATTCATGTAAAGGATTATCTGAAAATCCAAGATGAGAACTCCTTGCACTGGAATTGTTTGGGGAGCATCTGAGGATGGGGAACAACAGAGGGTAGGGTCAGAGCCATGGATAAGACATAAATGCCCCAGATGATTGAGGCTACATAGAAAAAGTATGTTTAATATGTGGGAAGAGATGCTTTTTCAGGAGAAACTAAAAAGCCACTCACCTGTGGCCTGTCAGTAACCCAGTTACCACCCAGTCTTTCATTACATTACATCTGTAGTGACAGGCAAAGCTGAAGGAGGAAAAAGATTCTGTGAAATTCTTACCCTGCCCACAGTTCCCAGACCTGTGAGTTACAAATCTTCAACCACTAACTAGATGACCAACCCCCAGCCCCCCTGCTTATGCAGAATGCTCCAAGAGGGACAAGAGGAGCCATCTTCTCTCCCAGGACCCCAGATAAGAAGGCTGTAACTCTTGATGCTCATTAGGAAGACTGTTATCTCCATTTGGGAGAAAACTTTGGACCACAGAGGTTTATACATGACTGACACTCTCTCAACTGTTTTACGACTTGTGTAGTCACCAGTACACACTGGACTGTCTCAGTCCCAGTGCTCTCCCTCTTCCCTTTCCACTCTGCACTGTCTTGCCAGACACATCCATTCCCTGCACTTAAGTCTCTAGTCATTTCTTTCAGTCAATAAGAATGTCTTCTCTACAGTGGCCACGTAGGTAGGGACTGAGGGGGACATGGAGCTAGAAACATTAAGAGGTACACAGTTTTGAGGATTAGACAGGAGAAGTGGAGGGGAGGAGAGTGCTTCCCCTGGCTGCTTACTGAGAGCGGGGGCTCCTGATCAGTCTCCCTTGTCAGTTTTCCTGGTGTTTCCAGCTGGACTTTGTCTAGTCCGTTCAGCTGCAGGGAGGAATAGGCCAGATGGTCTGCCTCTGTTACTGGGTTAGGGTTGGGGAACTGCCTAGTCTGGATCACCTTGTTCTGTTGTGTGGGGAGACCTAGGGTTCCCTGCTGCTGAGTGTTCCTCTAGTCCTGGAGTCTCAAACCAGTTTACCTTCAGAGACTCCTTCAGAGTTTTTTCTGATTGTCTCTTGCATTATTTCCAGGTATATAGTTGTACTCAGTGGGGAGCAGAGAAATGGGTCTACACCATTTTATCTAGACTGAAAGTCACTGGTCACTAATATTCTAGGCTAATTTGAGAGTTTCACTGTAAAGGTGAGCAGAGAAATGGGACAGTGGCATGAAGGACGTGTGCTGTTGAGAAAGGTTTGCTTTTATTTTTTATGAGAAACCACAGCATGTTTGTAAGCTCCCTCTCCTGATGATGCAGGAAAAGTAGAAAGTAATTGCTGAGGCAGTGCCTTGAGTAAGGGGGAGAAGATAGGATCTCCTGCACAGAATGGGCGTGGCTTTACATAGGGGCTTGGAAGGTGTGTCCATTGTTCCTCCTTAACAGGGGGGAAGTAGGTGAGCACAGCTGCAGGTAGGTCCTCAGTGTGGTCTTGGGAGCGTGAGGACTGTTCTGGGGTTTCTGTTATCTTCCTGAAAGAGGAAGCAGGGTTAACAGCTGGAGAGTGAGGAAGGAGGAAGGGGTATTGGAGGTTTGAAGAGAGAGAAGAATATAGGGAAAAGTTACCCAGAAGAGTGGACGAGTGACTGGTCTAGGTTTGGAAGACATGAGGGGGGAATGTAGAAGACTACGATTTAAAAGTAGGATTTCATGAATTTAGAGCCAGAGGAATTCTAAGTAATGTCGAAGACCAGGGCATGGATAGTCCATTATATTTACAAAGCACTGATACACACGTCTGGCACTGTGCTGGGCAGCAGCGACAAAGGCATAAAGGAAGCAGTCTCCTCTGGAGTGGGGAGTGGGCTGCTGAGAAAATGGGGATGAGTCTGTCAGCGCAGACAACCGCCATGCGCTTTGCTGTGCAGAGACAAAGAAACAGAGGTAGCCACAGGGGAAAGTGAGGTCAAAGAGATTTTGAAAAATGGTAGACACCAAAACATATTTGAATTCAACGGGGAAAGACTTAGTGGAGCAAGGTAAAAGTGCAGTAGAGACAGGTTAACTAAGAGCAGGGAGACAGGATTCAGAGCAACTGGCTTGACGGGAAGCAGGACTCTCCCTGTGTTGTAACAGGAAGACAGGAGAAGATGTGAGCATCTGAAGATACATTTATAGGTTCAGATGCATGAAGATTCTCTAAGACTCTTAGACATCCCACTCTAAACCCAAAGGTAGTAGGACAGTATAAATGCTTCAGCCACTATCTTCCATATAGGGTAACCTCCCTACCACTTCAGAGCTACTGTTCTTGCCAAGGTCACAGTGATCTCCATGCTGCCACATTTACAGCACTGCCAAGGGTACGTTAAAGGCTTCATTGTTCTGGACTTCCCAACAGCATTCAGAATGGCTTCATTCTCCAGAAACACTGTCTTCTCTTTTACTTTCCTGATCCACATATGTCCGGTTTTTTCCTTCCTTCTCTGGCTGTTTCTTCATCTCTTTTGTTGGCTTGTGCAAATACTTGTTTTCATAAGTTCTAGATAAATTCAAGGCTCCTCACAACTTTCAGTTTGTAGACTGTAATGGTAATGGCACCCAATGATTCACACCTCCCAGTATCATGCTCTGTGCAGTTACTTCCCACATGGACTCTGGGCTTGGCCATGTGACCTGCTTTTGCCCATGGGATATTAGCAAACATGACACAAGCAGAAGCTTGATAAGCTTGTGAATGGGGGCTTGCCCTCTCGGAACCCTGAAACAACCATGCTGTGAAGCAGCTCGGGATGGAAGACCACGTTGGACCCAACTGCTGAATGCAGCCACATGAGTGAATCCAAGTGAGCCCAGCAGAACCACCCAGGCAATCTACAGACACGTAAGAATAAATCATTATTGTTTTAAGCCACAAAATTTTGAGGTGATTGGAAGTGATAACAGGTCATCCTCAGTTACAACAGAGATGTGGCTACCTTTAGTGGTTTTGAGCAAATCAGGAAAAAAAAGAGTCATAACATGCCTCTCCTGGGCAGACGCACCTTTGTCCAAACAAAAGGTGCCCCTTCTTTCAGGATGCAGCCCTGTGCACAGCATGGATTTGAGCCCACATTCAGCTCCGGCACTGGATACTTTTATGCACTCATAAGCGACACACTATGTGTGTGAATCCTGGGGAGGTTTCTACACGACTTTCTCTTCATTTAGCATAGACTAGAAACTTAGCTTCAGGATGGGTTTAATTACTCCAGTTAAGGAGAGACAGACAGCACCTAGAGTAGTGCTCCCAACCTTGAGGATTCAGTAGAACACTGACTTTTATTAAGGAAAATAGGCCAAATGTTGCTAATAGAGAGTCACTTCACTTTTCAGGCAAGTCAAGTAGGCAAGTTATTCCTGGAAAAAAGATGAACAGTTCTTAGAAAAAAGAGGAGCCGTCATTCCTCTGAACCACTCATGAACATTCCAGACAAGAGGTAGATAGAGTTAGATTCTAGAAGAGGTGGCAGTGAGGAGTTAGGCCCTTACGCAGGTAGTTGTGCCTCACAGAGATGGCACCATGCCCCAGGTCTCCCTGGTCCTAGGAGAATGTTCTGGAGCAGAGGTCTAGAACAGGCTGGGCAGTGCCACCGGTCTTCACGGACCGATGGGCCTGCCTCAGGCTGGCCGTGGGCCTCCTTTTCCAGCTGCACAGTGGATGCCTCCCTCTGGGCTGTAGTGCACTAGGCCACAGCGCAACTGGGGCTCCTCTTCCTCATACCAGCGCTGTTCACTGAAGTCCGGGAAGAAGGCTGCAATCTCTCTACTGGCTGAAACCACAGAGTCTGTAAGGGGAGGTGAAAAAGAGAAGGGGTTCTCATAGGGAGTGCAGGATGGAGGCAAGAGGCAGTCATAATCAGGTCCAGAAACCTGAGCCCTGACTTCTCCTGCCTGCCATAGTCCTGGGGTCCCATCTGCTGAGATGGCCACAAAGGTCCAGAAACACAACTGGGAAGAAAGCTCACTGGGGAACCTGGCTCTCAGCCCTGCCATACGGCCTGCCCACCAACCACAGACCAACTTCCCTCATTAGTGCTGTGGACACAGGAGGCAAACGCACCAGAGCCATGGGTTGTGTTACGGGTATCAGTGAGGCCAAAACTCCCACGAATTGAATCTGGGGCCACGTGGCGTGCTCGAAACACTCTGGTGGGTCCCATCACCGTCCTCCAGAGCTGGATGGCATCCTTGTGGGCGAGGATGTAGGCTCGGATTGGCCCACTGTGAACAAATGGAGCACATGTCAGGAATCTGGCTATTGGGCCTAGGAGGGCACGCTGTGAGCAGAGCAGGAATAAAGGCACACTGGACATCCCGAGTCTCCTGCTTTTCTAGCCGAGTGCCAATGCTGCTTCAAATAGAAGGTGATGGAAGGCCACTGCTGATGAACAAGAAAGGCCATGGAGGTCAGCAGAGTTGCTAGGCAGCATTCAACAATACTCTTCTATAGGCCCTGGACAAGTAACCACCACAGGACAGGTGGCCACCTGGTCAGTTTTGGCCCAAGCCCTTATTTCTTCAGATACATGACACTGGTTACAACTTTAAAGAGCGGCAGATGAAATTAACAAATCTGTTTAGGGGCAGATAAGTCTCAGTGGATGAAGACGTTGGAACAAAAGTGATAAGTACCTGGCCATGAACTCCACCAGCCGCTGATAGAAAAAGCGCCCTGCAGAGAGAGAGAACCTTCATCAAGACACTGGTGTCCAAGAGAGCTTTTTATATTTCTGCCTTCCTACTTGGAATAATAAAAATTGTTTTAGAGAAAAGAACAAGGACCATGGGAGTCTGACATACCTGGGTCTGAATCCAGGCTCTCCAATTTAACAACCTGTGTGATTTCAGATAAGTCATTAACTTCCCCAACTCAGTTTCCTAATATGTGTGCTGGGGACATAAGGATCTCTACCTCATGGGGTTGCTGGGGAACTAAATGAAATCATGGGCCTTCAAACAATGTCTGATAGAGTCAACTGTTAACTAGTGGTACTACCAGGACATAAAACTTAAGTTTCTTTTTGGAACCATGAGACAGAACCCTTCTAGAAAACATTTTAAAAATATTGATAATCATGAAAGGTTTGTATATAAATCAAGACTTTAGAAGACTGGCTGCAGTTTTATGGTTGGTCAGTCAGACAGCCTGACATTGTGTGTCCAGGTAAAGTCTCCCTTAGGATAGAGAAGCCTCCCCTTCAGAGGACTGTTGGTCATACCTTCATGCTCTTGGTAAAACTTCTGACAATCTTCTTTTCTCCACAGAAGTTCTCTCATTCGTACAATAAGGAACTTGTTGCTCAGAATCTGCTGATGAACAGCCTAGATAAACACCACCGCAAAGAGAAAAGTCAGTCAGAGGGACCATTTGAGTGGATGGAAGACCCAGGCTGATCAAAAGGACCATGAGGACCTTCAGAGCCCAAGACATGAGGGTCCCACTGGTGGGTCAGAAGAAAAAGAAGGTGGAGTGATGTGAAGACCTTCAGTCCCAGAGCCAGAGCATGAGCCTTGGGTGGAGGGGCAGGAAGTGCTGTCTCTGCCACTCCATTCTGACAGAATCCATCATTCAGACTGTCATAAAATCTCTTGATAGTGGTCTTGCCTTGAGTTTCTCCCACTCTCCCCAAACCATCACACTTGATAGATTAAAAACACCATAATTTCTATTTCATACTCTGGTCAGAAGCTTTTGAATGTTTCCTCTTTTTAATGGAATGATGCACAACCACTTAAGGCCAATGCTCAAGGCTGCACTTTTCCTTGCCCTCCACCACTTCCGGTTCTCTGGTCCCATCAACCCAGCCTGCCTGTGGCCCTGAGACCCACCACACAGCATCTCCCTTCTGTGGAACACCTACTCCTATGTAGTAACCAAAGTCCACCCTTCCGCTGAGGCCTGGTCAAGTCCCAGCACTCACAGACCACTGTTCCTGACTGCTCCCTTCTCCCCCTGCACCATAGTAAGCTTACTTAACCATGCTGCTCAGCTAGTACTTGGGACGAATCCTAAAAGGACCCTCACCTGGCCCCACCAAGATTCCACACCCTAATCTCCAGGACTCTGAATGGGATGCAATATTTTATTGTTACATTACATGGCAAAAGGGATGTGTAGTTAAGGTTACTACTATCAGTTGACTTTGCTTTAATCAAGGAGGGAGGGTATAGCTCAGTGGTAGAGTGCCTGCTTAGTATACATGAGGTCCTGGGTTCAATCCCCAGCGCCTCCATTGAAAAAAAAAAATAATTATCTCTCACCTCCAAAAACAAAAATAAACAAACAAAAAGGAAAATGCTTTAATCAAAAGGGAGATTATCCAGATGGGCCTAAGTAATCACATGAGCTGTATAAAAGCAGAGTTTTAACTAGCTGGGGGCTAAAGGAGAAGTTAGTGATTAAAAGCATGAGATGGCACTGCTGTTATCTTGAAGATGGAGTGAGCCAGGTGATAAGAAATGTGAGTGGTCTCTTAAAAACTAAGAGTAATCCCCACTAGAAGGCCAGCAAGGACATGGGGACCTCAGTTCTATAACCACAGAAACCAACTTCTGCCAACCAGAATGAGTTTAGAAGTGGATTCTTCCTCAAACCTTTTAGATAAGGGCCTAATCAGCTGATCCATGGACTTTGGCCTTGTGAGACCCTAAGGAGAGAACCCAGCCAAGTCTACTGGACCTCTAAATTCTAGAATTGTGAGATAATGAGTGTTGTTTTAAGCTTCTAAGCTTGTGGTAATTTGTTATGCACCAATAGAGAACTAATGTACATACATTGTCTTGAGGTTTGGTTCTTATTGTATTGGATCCTTTCTTCTATTTTATATCTGCCCCAATTCTCCAACAGATTTTTAGTCTTTTTAGGGTCACAGGACTGTGACACAACCCAGGACTATGTTGTCAGTCTTCACAAATGGCCCCGTGGCACCTCAAACAGAAGCAATGCCCAGGGCATACTGTAGAGGCTTAGTTCTTGTTCTTACCTCCAGAATCAGTGGGTGAGCAACTGCATCAGGCTTGATCAGGGCCAGAGTGAGCTGGAGAGCCTGAGGACTCCGCAAGATTGAGGTCATCTCCCTCCTGCCATCAGAGAGCCAGATTAGGGACCCATCAGTGCTGCACTCCCCACCCTTCCTACTCTGGAGCCATGCTGCCTTGCAAAGCTAGCCAGCGCTCCTGACACTGGCACATGACAGTTACTTTGTATTTTATTGCTTATGGGATTGAGGGAAGAGAGTGGTGGAGGGGCCATTCAAGTTGCCCAGTAGAGCACATAATCTGGTTTATGCAACTCTAAACCTAGGAAGGAGTTACCCATTCAGAAGAAGTTCGAGTTTAAACACAACTTGTCTCTGTCAATGTTCCCTCCCCTTCCTAACTTTCTTTTGTGTTTTACAGAGGATTTACAATTTACATTCCTAAACAGCGTGGCTACAAAGGATCCAATAACTGTTTCCATTTCTAAGGCCCTCTATCCCACAGTGCTCCCCATCAATTCTGAAACTGGAAGATGGGATGGACCAGAATTGGGATGTTGCCAGAATACCTCCAAAAAAGTCTCCTGGATACCTACCATTTCTTATCTAATCTTACAAACAGGTTAGGATTTCCCTGCCCAAATCAAACCCTTTAATACATTCAACTGTCCTCAGTGGCAAGGCTGGCAGACATGTAACTCCAAGGTCAAGGACAAGTTGTAACCATTTTGTATGTGAAGCAGCTCAGAATGCCTGGTGCAAAGGTGCTTAATCAATTTTATTAATGAAGTGAACGTATATAGTCTTACTCTATTTATCTCTGTATTTCTAGTGTCCAATCATGATGTAAGAGCTTAAATAATTGTGGAAATGATGTAAAAAAAAAAAGAATTTTATAAACTGGACTAAGAGAACTTGAGATCTCTTCCAACTGTGAAATTCTATTTACATGTATGAAATTGATCATCTCTGCAGGACTAAGGAGTAGGTCTCAAAAAGATTGTCTGGTGGAACCCCTAAATTTGCCAACAAATACAGAGAAGACTTCCATAACAAACACAGGGACAGAGTCTGGGCAACTGTCTCATTTCTCTGAGCCCAAGAGTAGCCTGACAATTAAAGTAGCTACCACACTAAAGTTGGTGCTAGGGTCTGGCCCAGAAAAACTATGCCAAGGTCTTTCCTACTTATGTCTTTTCGACAGCATTCAGCTTGATGCTGCACTCAAACCACAAAGCTAAGCCCAGTCTAACCAGTACAAGATCAGCCAACCCACTGTCCCTAATATCCCAGGTGGTGAGTAACCTAAAAGCAAGCAGAATCTGCCACATACCTGGGGAGAGAGATCTTTGACACCTCCCCCTCGTCATACTCCATATCCACACTATCACTTAAGTTCTGGCAATTTTACCTAGTCAATGTATCTCAAATCCATACAATTCTCTCCCTCTCAACTGCCACCCCACTCCCTGGACTTCAACAGCCTCTTCAATGGTCTTCTAGTTTCTACTCTTGCCACCCTCTAGTCTGTTCTCCACATAGCAGCCACAGTGAATTAAAAATGCAAATCTAATCACATAATTTCCCTCCTCAACCCTTTAAAATGTACCCTGCTCTTATGATAACCTCAAATCCTTATCATGTCCTACTGGGCTTTGCATGATCTGATCCTTGTGTACCTCTCTAGCCTCCTCTGGAACTCCACACTGCATAACTTGATTTTGCTCCAGCTTCGTGGGCCTTACAGCTCCAAGATTTTCTGACCCGACAGCCTTTGCATGAGAAGTTTTCACAGTCCTAAATGTACTTCCTCTGGTTACCTCCTAGATCTTAGCTCACTTCCCCTGTTTTAAGTTCTCATGGCTCCTTACACGTTTTCTTCAGCTATCTCTTTCCCACTAGAAGGTCAGCTCCATGAAAGCGGGTAACTCTTTTACACACCATCGTAATCTCTGTATTCGTGCAGAGTGCCTAGCACATAGATGGCTTTCAATAGTATTTGTTGAATGAATTCTGATCCAGCTATCCCAAGGCCAGGCTGCTAGGAGCTCTCCAGGGGAGAACCTGGTTCCTTTCTTCCTGGCAGCTAACTTATGCCTGTTTTGGCTCCTGGTTTATAACAAATGTTGACACGTCGAGAAACTTACTCAACTTAGAAGTCACTCCATTTAACAATTTTACAATATTGTAAGTTGCCTAGGCGTGTGCCCCAACAACAGAGGTGCCCATTCCTCTGCTTCCTGGAGGACGCCAGCCACGCCCCCTCATCCTCCCAAGCGCGTCTGGGACCTGCAACCCCTCAACTTGGCTTCCGGCCGCCAACACCTGAGGCCCCGCTCCCTAGTCCCCGCTGTTCACAGCCTCAGCTCTTGCCACCACCCGTCGCCTTGCTGCCCCTCCATAGATCTAGGCCTGCAGCCCCACGACCCCTGCCCCTTGTACCGCGGCCTAAGCCCACCCAGATTCTGGGCTAATCGGAGCCCCAGGCCAGCTGGAGTTCCGGTTCTAGTCACCTGGTCCTCCAGTCGCAGGGCCCGGCCGACAGGCACTGCAATAGCTAGCCTTGTGGCCCAAGCAGGGTCTTTCAGGCGTTCGGCCGGGCAGCCCGCCGCGGGGTCCTTGCCGTGAGGTCACGGGCCAGTCAGCGCGGGATTAGGGTGTTTGCAACCAGTCCTGGAGGCCGTGTAGCAGGAGGGCCGGCTTGCCGGTGTCACTTGTCTCTCTGCGTCAGTTGTCTCTCTCCACCACTTGCCCCAGACCAGAGGAGATGAAGCCGGCTCGGGCGGGAGATGCCCCTCCAAGCCCAGCTCGGGCGCCCTCAGGCGGGAGGGAGGGCTGGCGGCCCTGCGCGGGGAGGTGCCACGGAGAGGACAGGGTGGACTTTTCAGGGTGGCAGCCTGGCAATGGGCGTGCCCCCAGCGTAGCCACCGGAGTGGACCTTGCCCAACTCGACCTTTCTGTTATTTGTCTAGGGTAGTGCCTGGCACATGGTTGGTGCCCAGTGTTTGTCGGAAGGAAGCGGCGGGCAGAAATCTTGTGCGTTGGGTCACGAGGGCAGAGGCAGCCGTATGGGATTGGTGAGGGAGGATTCTTGGCTGGAAAGCAGGTTTACATAAGCCTGAGGGAAACTAGTAAGGCCCTTGAACATGTCGCTAAGGAATTTAGGGTAGGATGTGGGGTGGGGTTACCTTGGAGTCTAGTAAAACAGTCCAGGGTGAGCAGATGAGAACTGGGGTGATTCCTGGTGTGTCGTCTGATGTATGGAGAGGGTACAGTGTTTCAGGTTGAATAAGAGTGGTAAATTTTTTTTCTTGGAGAGAATCACTGAATCTGAGATGAGTGAAAATAAACTATAACTGTTACAAATTTAAAAAAATTTTTTAAACTGACTTTGTGCCTGCATAAACAGGTGTTGCACTCCTGGAATGTTAGAAGAAGGGTGTGTGGTTCTGGCAGCTTGTTTCCACAAGGTGTCTTTAGAAAGGTCCATTTCTTACCTGTCTGGCTGGTGAAGGTACATGTCCATTTCTGCCTTTAGAGGGTGAGAGTAAACTTACCATGTGCCACTGACCAGACATCTGGTTTCAGTCTTATTTTCCAAATGCACGAAGTCTAACTTTGTTTCTTATCTTTATCTTCTTTAACATATCTTTGGGCTATGGGATTTTGCTGATTTTTAGGCCATGATCATTAGTTCACATTTTGTCAGTCTTACACGCACTGTGGAAGGTTTTGGTTCTATATTTTATGGTTGCTTTGACTGTCTTCAACAATATGCCTATATAATGAAAGTACAGGCAGATGTGATCTAGGGGAAGACTCAATAAATAACACCCTTTTTCTAAACTCAGACTCGGAACCAATAGAAATAGAGAAATGGCAGGCAGGTGGAGACCAAATGTCAGTTTAATCAATGCTGATGAAGCTGTTGGAGAACGATGTATCTTAGTGTGAAAGCCTAATGCACCTGCCTTCTAACTGATATCCAGGTTCAATGCCTGGTTGCTTATAAGCTGCACTTAAAACAATTGCAACAACACAAAGAATCTAAATAGTTACCAGGACATATAAAATTTTCAAAGTTTGGCCCTACATCCTCAAAATTTAGAAAGCAGGCCAATCCCCAGCCCCTAGCAGATGCCAGGGAAAGTTTTGTCACAGAAACCTGTCAAAAGACCCTGACACTCAGTGATGTCTGAGGGAAGGTGAATAGGCTGAAAAGGTCTTAATTTGATTTTGCTGGGACTCAAGTAATTCTATACCAGTTATTGTCTCCAGCTTGTGAACTCAGTTGGGAGAACCACCCATTAAGAGGTTAATTATGACTTGAAGTTTGTTCTGTCCTGAGGGGCATCTACCTGTGTCCAGTCTTGTGTGTAGACAGTGGTATTTAAGACCATGCTGCCGTCTTGGAGTGTTAATTGACAGCAGTAGTGGCAGCCCCAACCAGGTCTTCTTTGAGGTGCCTTTCTTTTTCATCCAGCATATTTAAATTACTTAATATCATCTCCCCTTTGGGTCCTGTGTTTCTGGCATGTCGGGGCTGCATTGAGGGTGGGCTCTAATCTCACAGCTTCCCTAGCCCACTGTGAGCAGTCCTCAGGGCCACTGCCTTCTCAGTGTTCCAGGAGTTGCTCAGGTCCAGGACACCTGCTACTGAAGGGGTGCGAGGAGGAGGGGAGGTGTTCCTTGACCCCGCACATTTCAGTCGAGAATCACTGTCTGCAGGTTTTTCACCTGAAGCTGCTGTTCTTCTGAAGATTGTTCTTCCAGGGACCAAGTGAGAATCAAGACCTCTGCCATGTGTTCCTCAAGATACTGTACTCAGCTTCTGGATGGGTCAGGTGAGAAGTATCATTTATTCCAGACACTTCATTTTTGGCATTTTTCTGTTCCTGTACAGCTTTCTAGAAGAGTTGAGTTTCCAACATTTTTTTTTAGCCAAGTGAAATTAGTTTTCTACCTTTTTTAAAATTTTTTTAAACATTTTTAAATTAAGTTATAGTCATTTTACAATGCTGTGTCAAATTCCCAACATTTTGTTGTCAGGAGGAAAACCTATGGGGCCGACCATCTGCTGGTGGAAAGTAGGGGAGAAAGTGAGCCTCCAGGGCCAGGCCCTGGAGATTTGTCTCAGTTATTTTCCAGGATATCAGCTTTCTCTTAATAAAATCTCTCTCTTCCTTTGTTTTTAATTTATTTATATTTATTTTTATTTTGGCAAGGGATAGGTAATTAGGTTTATTTATTTTTAGAGGAGGTACTGGGGATTGAACCCAGGACCTTGTGCATGCTAACCATGCGCTCTACCACTTGAGGTATACCCTTACCCCTCTCTTCCTTTGTTTTCGTTCTTGCACTGCTCCTAAACTTTTCTTTTCTTTTCTTTCCTTGGGAAGAGAGAGATAATTAGGTTTTATTAATTAATTTTTTTTAGCAGAGGTACTGGGTATTGAACCCAGGACCTTGTGCATGCTAGGCATGGCACTCTACTACTGAGCTATACCCTGCCCATCCTGCTCCTAATCTAATGGCTTCTAATCTGGTGGCTCTTAATCTGCTTTTCATCCTGAACTTCCTGAACATGTGTGATCCCTCGAGACAGTATTCCAGGCACAGGCTTTCTCATTATCTTCTCAGCTTTCGTGGCTGTGGTCATTTCATTGAATGTTCTTTCTACTTCAGTCTAAGAAGATGGCATATTTTATTTGTAACAAGGGCACTGTTTCTTTTTTGTTATAAATAAAACTTACCACCCTTTTACAATTGAAGCTGCAGTGTAAATCTCAGAACTATAAAACCCTGGCCAGAGTTTTTCAAAAATAGACCAGCAGGTGGGGAGTGACCCTTAATCCATGTAGAAAAAAATGCATGTGTTCTTCCCATTTTGTGCTTTGGCCTTGTGTCTAGCTCACAACAACATAAGGGGTAGAATTTGGGACAACCGTCCCATGCTGCCTTCTAGGCTGGGACTAGCAATTTAAAGTTTGGAGCTTACACACGGGTTCCTTAGTATATGTGGAACTTAATTGCAATTTAAAGCCCCTGGCCTATTAAACTAGCTAAAAAAATATAGTAAAGGGCCAAATAAGTGGGTTTTTTTTTCCCTGATATATAAAAGGCCTGTATAGGGAAAGACTTGTCTACAGTCAAATCTGTGCCTCCACAAGGCCTGCTCACTAAGACTCCCCTCTGCTGCTTAGGGTCTACAGGTGCCCCACAAGGGAAGGCTGTGAGTCTGTGCAAAGGCCAAGGCCAGTGTTGACCTTAGATTCAACATGGCCAACTTGAAAAGCATTTGAAATGACTCAAACACTGGTCCCATCATAGCCTGAACTTAACATGTGATGTGTGATCCCCACATTCCTTATCTGGTCTTTTTTTTTTTTTATGTTCTCTGCCAAATCATTGGATCCTAACATTCCCTTGAATAAAACTCATCCCTCCACCCCTGCCAAAGGGCAGAGCCTACTGTAAAAGTTTCAACACAGGGCAGCAGAATCCAGACAATGGTTCCCAAAATAAGGGAGGAAGAAGGAGCTGTGCTACAGTTGCCTGACTCTCTGTCCCTGAAGCTTCAGCCAGGGGAGAAAAGGTGTGGCAAGAGGCCAGCAGTGTTTGGGGGAAACCCTTCCTTGTGGATCCAGGGGATCAGGCCAAAAACGCATTTACTTTCTAACAGAGTTGAAAACAGCTCTTTGGTTTCAACTTGTGTGTTTTGGGAATTGGTTAAGAGGTTGGCTTCAAAAAGGAAATGATTCAGTTTGGAATGTAGTGAGTTTGGGATGATAGTAGTCGAGCAGAATGGGCTTGTTGGTGGTTGAATAAGGATAGGTTTGGGAGTTTCAAAGTGGTGTTAGTTAGAAATGTGTCAGTAAAGAGTTGACCATGGGAGAAAATGCAGAGAGAAAACAGAAGGCCAAAGACCAATCCTCCCCTTGTCAAAGAATAATTTTAAAACTTCTACTTGTATACAAAGAAAAACAACAATTGATTGACTCTGGAAAAGGCAAAAACAGGATTTATGTAAAAGAAAAAGTAGAGAGGGAAGAAGGAAAACTGTAGATAGTTTGAAAATTGTGGCTTTTGTTTTCTGTGAGTAAGCTGCTGATGGCAGCCAACAAAGAAGCCAGTTAAGAGTATTCTGCCCTCGGGCAAGTGGATGGATTATTAAATAATACAACTTCATTTGGTTATAGATTCTCCAGAAGACTTTAGGAGTTAGTTCAGGTATCTGTGTCAGGCTGTCTCTGGATAAACACTATCTATCAGTATCCTTTGTAAGCACCTTCATCATTACACCAGGTCTGTACTGTTTCCCTCACCAGAATTTCTGAACTTCTCCCTTCTCATCAGCTCTCATCCAAATTGGCCCTGAGGACTTCAGTGTCCTTCTGAAGCAGTAACATGAGTTGAATGTTGTGTGAGGGGAATGAATATTTAACAGTATTTAGACCCCTAAATATCAGACAGCAGAAGATGGCAAAAAAAGAGCAAGGGAATTCTAAATATGATTAAAAATATTGGGACCCATTTCATATCCAGGTTACTCACTGGTCTGTTTAATCAGGAGAATGAGTCCCAAGGATTAGTTTAGTCAAGTTGAGCTAATGAAGTGGCTTTCTTCCTCAATTGCTTAATTGATTGTTTTATTTTTGTAACATAAACCCTAGTATAAATAAACATGTGAGCAATTGCAGTCCCCACTTTAGCAGGTCAGTATGTAGCTGAAGACTGTCCTAGCCAACAAATTTATGGTAGTCTGTGGGGCCTCTACGGTTTGAAATGCCTTAATTTGCTGTTTGAATCATAGCTGAATTATGAGTCACCTAGCCAGGGTAAAATGTTTTTGTACAAACCAGTGAAATCCAACCCTAGTCCCTAACACCTTACCCTAAATCCTATATCCTTAACCCCTAACCCCACCACTGACAGTGATCTCTTTTGACTTGTAACCTAACCCTAGCTCTTCTGACCCTGACCCTGACTTGTTCTCTTCTGAAGCTGACCTTGTTACTCTATCCCTTGATCCTTAAACTCAAATCCTAAACCTTAGGCCTTTGCTGCAGCCCTAACATCTAACCCCACTGCAGTCCCTGACCACCACCCAAATGTCTGACCCTTGACTTGAACACTTTTGACCTGCCATTTTGAAAATAACCTAAGTGTCCACTGAATGAATGGATAAAGAAGTTGTGAGAATATATGTATATGATATTATATATATATATTCACACACTCACATAATTCAGCATAAAAGAAGGGAATCCTGCCATTTGCAACAACATGAATGGACCTTGAGGACATTATGCTAAGTGAAATAAGTCGGACAGAGAAACACAAATACTGCATAATCTCACTTATATGTGAGATCTAAAAATCAAACACAACCAAATTCACAGAGAGAGTCATTTACTGAAGAAGCAAGTCAATGAGTTTGATGCTAAGTATTGGTTTCCTCCAGCACTAGCATCCTCCTCTAAAGGGAATGTAAAGGCAATGATTGTGTTTTACTTGATTGTCTGGGGATTCAACAAGTTCTTAATTTTTCATGGTAAGTTCAGGAGTTTTTCTGCAAGAGAAATAAATACATGCTCAGGCAAATCAAATTTGGGAAAATTAAGAGGGAAAACTACCATATTGGTAATTATACCCATAGTCCAGCAAGAATGCTAAACAATTATTGTATGAATTAAGGCAGACCAGAGATATTCTAATTTATCTGAAGAAGAACAAAAGCACAGAGTGGAGGTGGGCCAAGAAGACGAGAGCTGTGGGTACAGATGCCTGTGTGAGTCTTCGGACCCCAGAAGAGTGTATGGGAACTTCCGTGGGGCAGAAAAGGTACAGGGTAGAGACAGTGGGGTTGACATGAAGCAGAGTCTGGTCAGAGGCTATGGGGTGTTATTCGAGGCATAGGAAGTGGTGTTAATGTATACAGTCTGAAATCAGCCTAATCCAGGTTCAAGATTCAGCCCTGCCAGCCCCTAACTCAGTGGCCTTGGGTAAGTCACATTCCTCTCTAGAACTCAGCATCTTTGAATGTACAGTGCAGCTAATAGCAGCACCTTCCTCGCAGTGGGGGCTGTGAGGAACACAGGAGAGGAGATACAGACAAAGCATGTGACAGTGCAGGACACATGGTTGACAATCAGTGGTAATTGTTCCTCCTGTAGTAGATGCTGTATTGTTTATGATCTTGTCAGGAACAGAGTTTCTCTCCTGCTTTGGTGAAAGGCTGTGGGGAGGGGCGACCATTCATTCATTATTCATTCATTCCTATTCTCATTACACCATAGCCATTTTAATGAGTTCAGTATAGCATTCTGTTTACATGTGTTTGTGCAAAATATATTGTGTTTGTTTATTTTTAACTTCCCTAAAGGTGTTGTGTTATTTTTATTCTGTCCCTTGCTTTTTCTCTTAGTGCAGTGTTTTGAGATCTGTCACATTGCTAAGTTTACATCTGATTTATTCTGAAAGCTGCATAGAACTCTATGAAGACACTTTCCATGGTTTACCTATTGATTACTTGACTGGTCTCACCCAGGCTGCCCCCAAAGCTGCCACCTGCTGCAGTAAACAAGTATGTCACTTTACAAGCTGTGAGAGAATTTCTTTGGGATTTTCTAGGTTTGGAAATGCTGGACCATGACATACAGATAAATTTAATTTCTTACTTTGTCTAAGAACTGGTCGATTGCTCCTCAGAGTGGCTGTAACTGTCTTCCTGTCACCACAGATATACGAGTACAGGTATCTCTATCTCATCACTGGCGTTGGACGTTACTGAGCCTTCTGACTGTTGCTAGTATAATAGGTGCACTTTGGTATCTTATTGTTTCAATTCAAATTTGTCTGGTTATCCATGTGCTTTGAACATCCTTCATATGCTCATTAGTCTTATATCTTTATTTTTCTATAAAACCATAGCCTCTGCCTATTTTTCTGTTGGTTTGCTGTATATTATCTTGTTGCTTTTTTGTGTATGCATTTGTTGCTTTTTGCATATGCATTCCACATATTAGCTTTTTGTTGTCTTTAGGTATAGCACATATCTCCTCTAGCTCTGCCAGCTATCTGCTAACTTACTCATGTGTCCTTCACTTATCAGAGATCTTCAGTCCAACTGGAATATTGATTGGGAATGAAATGAATTTTTAAAAGAGTTTAGAAACTGGTACACTCATAATACTTAAGTTGTAATCTAAGAGCATGGACTCTCTCTCTATTTATTCATATGATCTTAAATATCTTTTGGCCAAATTTTAAAGTTTTCTTTTTGGAAGTCTTGAGTATTCTTATTTTTAAATAGGTTAATTTCCAGATACTTCATAGGTTTTGTTTCTGTTTTGAGTGATACATTATTTTTTTAATTTTATTTTCCAATTGGGTGTTACTGCTGTAAAGAAATGTTACTGCTTTTGTAGGTTGACCATGCATTTAGCAGAATTTCAGAACCTCCTAAAAGTGTTAATAGTTTGTAATTCATGCCATCCCTAGATTGAAGATTATAGTATCGTCATTTTTGTTTTAGGAGACTAAAGTGCCGTCTAGCAAATGGACAAAAATAGAAAGTCTTGAATAAAACTAAAAGCTCACCACTTGTTCATATAGTGGTCCTTGGAGCAGGTGCTTTGCATTGGAGAGCAGCAGTCTTCTAGCCACTGGCTTAAGGACAGGCTCTGTGATCGTTAATTTTATGTACCAACTTATTGGTCAGACATTATTCTGGATATTTCTGTGAGGGTGTTTTTTGATGAGATTAACATTTAAATCAGTGAACTCTGAGTAAAGCAAATTGCTCTCCATAATGTAAGTGGGCCTCATCTGATCAGTTGAAGGCCTGAAGAGAACAAAAGACTGACCTTCCTGAGCAAAACAAATTCTCCCAGCAGCCAGCCTTCAGACGCCATTCTATGGATATCCTTAAGTTTAAAAGCATCTCTTTGAAGTTGCAAGTTTAAAAAGGACCAGAGGTTTCTTTGACAAGGGCTGTGGTCTAGCTGTAAGCAGAGGGGATTCAGCAGTATTGTCTGTGAACTGGCCCAGGTCAGAAAGAATCTGACAGAGGTAGAGATCATGTGAGGTCTCTTTACAGTTACCCCAGATCATGAAAGTGCCTGAAAGTCTTTATGATTTCTCTTTAGTGGAACTAGAGAACATTCAGGTTGTGGACCTTCCCTAAGTGAGTAATATGTATGCTGGTCTGTAGATCAGATGAGCCTTGTGAACTTGTTACCGATATGGTGTCAGAAGAGACTGTTACAAAATTATTACAAAATTGTCTTTTTAACCTGTGTTGCCTTTGACCCTCTTCATTTTCTCTTCCAAGGTAACTTGTCCCAGTCCCTTTGCTGTGCCTCATAAAGCTATAATGATCTCTGTGACATCAACTGAGTTCTTGCTTGGGCCCTATGACCCCAAAATCAAAGACACAATATCTCAAACCTCAGGGTTACTCAGAGTCTGGTCTGTTCACTCTCAGAATAACATTTTGTGTTCCAGTTAGTGTCTTTTGTCAATATCCCCCAATTTGGGCATTACAGGGAAGAAAAAGGGTGGAGCAGATGTTCATTACTGCCAAATTGTCAGGCCAAAATACATTTCCTCCAGCAGAAGATGTTATTTTTGAGATGGCTGGGAAAATCTGAACATGAAATATGTTCAAAAGAAGATGACAAGGAACTCATTAGGTGTAATAACAGCATTGTGGGTGTGTAAGGAAATGTCACACTTCTCAGAGATGCACTCTGAAGTGTGTAGGAGTGAAATGACATGATGTTTGACGTGTGTTTATATATTTCAGTAAAGAAAAAAGAGAAGTAAAAGAAATAGAGGAAGGAAATGTGGCAAACACATTGTTCTTTGTTGAATCTATATGACAGGCATATGAAGTTCATTATATTATTGTCTCTAATTTCATGTATGTTTGAAATGTTTCATAACAAGAATCTAAAGCCCTCTACAACAGTGAGCTTTTAACTATATCTGGTTTACTGCCAAAAATTAAAAATAAAAGTGACTTTACTTACACATGGCCCATCGTGCAGCTTAGTTATGTTAAGCCCTTCATATCTGAAAGAAATTATATTTGAAATGATTATTTTTGCTCTGTGGTGTAACATAAATTATAATTTTACTTGATAATCTCTGGCTAAGTTTGAGAAGAAAACGTTCGGCCAATAGTGAATTATTTAACAAATATTTTAAAACATCTACTATATAGTTATTTATTTGTCAAAGAGGCTGAATGTATAAAACATACTTAGCTTGAAATTAAATATAGAAAATTCACAATTATCTTGAATATTTAAATAGAAATACAGAGTATTAGAAAGAGAATGTGCAATAAAGTTAAACTACATTTGATGAAAGTTAAAGATGTTACTACTGACCTAATAGGAATAAAAATGATTATAAGGGAATACTATCAACAGCTGTACATCAATAAATGAGATAGCTTAGATGAAACGGATAAATTCCTAGGAACACACAAAGTACCTAAACTGAACAGATCTATGTCAAGTAAAGAGATTGAACCAGTATTTAAAAACCTAACAAAGAAAAGTTCAGGAACAAGTGAATTCTATCAAACATGTCAAGATTTAATACTAGCCCTTTCAAGACTCTTCCAAATAATACAAGAGGAAGAACACTCCCTAATTTGCTCCATGAAGCCAGAATTACCATGACAGCAAAGACAAAGGCATCACAAAAACCGAAAACTATAGACAATATCCATTATGAATACAGATGCAAGAATTCTCAACTAAATACTAACGAACTGAATCCAATAGCATATTAAAAGTTTATACACCCTGACCAAGTGGGATTTATCCCGAGAATTCAGGGTGGTTCAATCTAAAACTATCAACCAGTTTAATAACATCATATTAATAGATTGAAGGGGGAAAAACCATGGGCTCATCACATTCATGTGGAAGAAAACACAGCATTTGAAAAATCCAACACCCTTTCATATTACAAAAAACTCAGAAAACTAGAAACAGAAGGGAACCTCCTCAACATAATTAAGAACATTTATGAAAAACCCACAGCTAACATTGTACTTAGTGGTGAAAGCTTAAAAGATTTCTTTCTAAGATCAGGAACAAGACAATAATGTCTACTTCCACCACTGACAGTCAACATTATACTGAAAGTTCTAGTGAGAGCATTAGGCATGAAAAAGAAATAAAAGTCATTTAACATTTTATTTGTGTATACCTCAGTAAAGCTGGGGACAAAAAAGGCATCCGAAATGGAAAGGAAGAAGTAAAACTATTTCTATTTGAAGATGACATGTTTCTATATATAGAAAAATCCCGAAGAATTCTTATAAAAATTATTAAAGCTAATAAACTCAGCAGTGTTTCTGAATACAAGATCAACATTTGAAAATCAGTTATGTTTTATATACCAGCAAGGAACAATCTGAAAATAAGACTTCTAAAACAATTTCATTTACAATAGCATTCAAAAGTAAAATACCTCAATAAATTTAACCTAGGAAGGGAAAGACTGTGCACTGAAAACTACAAAACATTGCTGGAAGAAATTAAAGAAGATCTAAATAGATGGAAAGCTCTCCCATGCTCATGGATTGGAAATATGTTGTTAAAATGTCCATACTACTCAAACCAATCTACAGATCCAGTGTCATGCTTATCTAAATCCCAGTGGCTTTTTGTGTTTTTTTCCAGAAATGGAAAAGCCTATCTTCAGATTCATACGGAATTGCAAAAGTCCCTAAGTAGCCAGAGCCATCTTGGGGGAAAAAAAATTGAAGACCCCAAATTCCTGATTTCAAAACCTTACTGCAAAAATACTGTATTCAGTGTGGTCCTGGCATTAGGACAGACACAGAGAATAGTGGAATGGAATTGAAAATCCAGAAATAAACCCAAACATCTATGGCTAACCAAGTTTTAATGAGTGCCAAGACAATTCAATGGGAAATGAGTAGTCTCTTCAACAAATGGTGCTTGGACAACTTGTACACAAATGTTCATAGCAGCATTATTCATAATAGCTAAAAGATGGAGACAACTCAAATGCCCATCAGTGGATAAATGGAAAACAAACTGTGGTAGGTACATACAATGTAATATTATTCAGCAATAAAAGAAGAGATTAAGTGCAGATACATGCTACAACATGGATGAACCTCAAAAAAAATACTAAGTGAAAGAAGCCAGACACAAAGAGTCACATATTGTATGATTCCATTTATATGAACTATTCAGAACAGTAAATCCATAGAAAAAGAAACCTGATTATTGGTTTCCAGGGACTCTGAGGAGAAAGGAATGGGAAGAAACTGCTTAATGGGTATTCTGAGGTGATGAGTTTTGGAACTAGATAGAGGTGGTAGTTTCATGACACTGTAAATGTACTAAATGCTACTAATCTGTTCACTTTAAAATGGTTACTTTTATGTTATGCAAATTTACCTCTGTTAAAAAAATAAGCCCTTGAGCCCATTCATAGCTATGAGACCTTTGTCAAGTTACTCTGCTTTTGTTCTTAGTATCTTCACTCAAAAGTAAGCTCTTAGCAGGGACATCAGTGAAAACAGAGAAGAACCTCTGAAAATTCTCTTCTCCATAAAGACAGTATGAGCACTGGCAAAAATAGAATCAATCTTTTCGTAACTTTAGGAAGTTTAAAAAAAAAAAAGGCTTGCAACAATCCAAGGAGCATTTATTTGTGAAAAATGGCTGACTCTCAATAAGAACAGTGAGCTTTGTAGAATTTTAACTTGCCCTATTCCCGTCTTCCCCACATGTGTGGTAGTTTTGAGAAACAACAGCCTGGAAACACATGGAGGGGACAGAATGGTGTTGGAGTGCCTTCAGAGTACCATTATCAGAGGATTGTCATTATTTGACCTGCCTGGCAGTTCTCTGGATTTGACCTGACTCAGAGCTCCCCCAGTGCATATAGCCTTTTCCCTGGAGGCCCTGGTTGAACATGATCAGAGGCAATTGTCGAGCATCATGGCTGCCATATGATGGGTAACAGGGTAAACAATAGGCTAACCAAAAGCTTAAAAGTCAAAGCTGGGGAATGAGATGTCCATAGGAGGTTTTGAAAAGCACCTATGTATTCCCAAGAATCTAGAAGGCCATACACTTGTGTAGGCTACGTACATGCTCAGGAGAGACCTGAGAAGGGCTTAAGCTCTCATCTCTGGCTAATCTTGAGGTTCTGTGCAAATGGGAAGTGAAGGCTAAGGTATACTTTTAAACTGCCTGGCTAAGCATTGAGGGCATTCCTCAACACACACAAAGTTTTTGTTGACAAAGACTGGGAGATTTATTGGTTCTAGCCATTTAAGATAATTTCTATCCAATCATTAGGAGACCACTGAGGCAATTGAATAGGACCTCTTTAGTGGCCATACACGACAAAAGTATGCAGAGTTCATAGAATTATTTCAGAAGCCACAAAACTAACAAACAGTAACAGCAACAAACCTTAGAGGAGACAATCTGATTTCCAGGGTTGCCATATTATATTATTTAAATTGTTCAGTTTTCAACAAAAAAATTATGACACATGCAGAGAACCAGGAAAGTACAGCCCATACACAGGATAAAAAGCAGTCATTGGAAAAAGTCACTAAGAAAGTCCAAGTGTTAGACTTAATAAGACAAAGATTCTTCATCCAGCTGCCTCCTCCTCTTCATCAGGCTTCTGTTCTTTGGCCTGAGGTGGTCACATCATCTGAGCTCTGTGCCTACTTGCCACTGAGTCAGTTCCACTTGATCCTTGTCCAGGCCAGACACAGCACACTCACCTCAGTGTGTTTCTGTTTCTGCCTGAATGGGATCACTCTGGGAAGCACAGGGAGGGATAGAAGAAATGAAGGAGCAAGTAGTGGAGGAGTCTCTGGAGGGAAGATCTAATTAGTGGGAAGTGTTCTGAGGAGATCATCCCTATCTTGGCCACATTTAGGCTCCTGACTTGAGAGGAAAGAATAAAATCAAAACTTACAGAATTTTGTAGCAGAGGTGGCATTCCCCACTGTAGGTAATCTGGTCACTGCCACATATGGGTTCACTTGGCTTGATGTAAGAGAAAATCCAGCACTTACTTATATTCTCTGTGCACAAAACCTGAGGGTGAGACAGACCACTGCTTCAGATACCTTCCTCCAGGGCTCTGGCCATAATCCCTGGTTGCAGGGGAGGAGGATGGGATAAGGAGCACTAGATCATGAGTTTGGAGAGCAGGCTTCAGAAATCTTGGGGTTTGACCCCTGGCATTTACCACCAACAATATGAATATAATATATAGTATAATATAAAACATGTAATCTGTGGACTTCTCAGTCTGGGCTATAAATTCCTTTTTAGGATGAAAATTGCTGCCCTACAACTATAGAATGTGATTGTTAGGTTACAGAGAGGTCCCTACCTCTCAGAAGCACGAGCTGAGACCATCAGGGAAACTCTTTTTCTCCCCATTCCTGCGCTTGGAAACCAGGGAAGCAGAGCTTACCTTTGTCTCTTCTAGGTGTGTCCCTTTGCCCATAGGAAGAGGAAAGTCTGGAAGACAAAAGAAGAGTTGCTGCTCTGACTTCTGCCTTTAGGTGGGAAAGTTAGGATCAGGGAGAGCTGGTTGGCACACAGGAAGCATCAAATCCCATCAGCGGAGGCCAGGGTTCCTTTCTGGTGCATGCTGCCCTCTAAAGGAGTGAACAGTCAGGAAACTTCTGCCCTCTCCTTGTAGAGATCTTAATCTCAGCCCTTCCACTTCTCAGGTCAGTAACAACTTCTACAATCCTTCTCAGTTGTTTTTAGAAAATACACTCTAAGTGACAAATTACCGTGAAATAGTTAATATTGAGATACTTTAAAAGATGCTGGGTTTCATTAAGGCATACATGCTCTTGATCCAAAGCAGTCTTTGCAATCTTATATATATATGTAAATTATAATTATAATGAACTGGTATTATAATACAGAACATGTATATTATCAGCTCTATGTTACATATCTTTATTAAGGTATAATTCACATACCATAGAATTCACCTAAAGTGTACAGTTTGTTTTTTAGTGTATTCACAGAGTTGTGCAACCATCACCACAGTCACTTTTAGAACATTTTCATCACCCCAAAAAGGAGTCCTCTGCCCATCAGCAGGGCCTTCTCATTCCTCCATCAACAGCTCCTCCCTTTTGCCGACCCAGATACCACTAGTCTACTTTCTGTCCATTCTGGACACTTCATATGAATGGAATAATCAAGTATGTAGCCTTTTTTGTCCATTTCTTTCACTTGATGTTTTAAAGGTTTACCCATGTTGTAGTGCACATTAGCACTTCATTACTTTTTATAACTAATATCTTATTGTATGTATTTACTGTATGTTGTTTATCCATTCATCCGTTAATGGACATTTGAGTTATTTTCACTTTTTGGCTGTTATGGGTAAGGCTGCCATGAACATTTATGTACAAGATTTTGTGTGCCCATATGTTTTCTTTTCCTTTAGGTATGTACCTAAGGGTGGTGTTGTGAGGTTATATGGTGACCTTTGGAGGAACTACCAGATTACTTTCTAAAGCAGCCACACCATTTCACATTCCCACCAGCATTATATGAGGGTTGCAGTTTCTTCACGTCTTTGCTAACATCTGTTATTATCTCTCTCTCTCCTTTTTTGCTTTGAATTCTCAAGGAATTCTTTTTTTTTTTAAATATAGTCAGTGTACAATGTTATGTCAGTTTCTGGTAAATAGCATAATGTTTCAGTCATACATACACATATATTTGTTTTCGTATTCTTTTTCATTATAGGTTACTACAAGATATTGAATATAGTTCCCTGTGCTATACAGTAGAAACTTGTTTGTCTATTTTATATATAGTAGTTAGTATCTACAAATCTCGAACTCCCGATTTATCCCTTCCCACCCCCTTTGCCCACCCTGGGTAACCATAAGTTTGTTTTCTAGGTCTGTGAGTCTGTTTCTGTTTTGTAGATAAGTTTGTTTGTGTGGTTTTTTTTTTTTAGATTCCACATATAAATGATATCATATGGCATTTTTCTTTCTCTTCCTAGCTTACTTTACTTAGAATGACTATCTCTAGGCCCATCCATGTTGCAGCAAATGGCATTATTTTATTCTTTTTTACAGCTGAGTAGTATTCCATTGTGTGTATGTATATATATCACAACTTCTTTATCCAGTTATTATCTCTTTTTGATAGATGCTTTACAAATAATTTCTGTCATTCTCTAGGCAGTCTTTTCACTTTGTTGATATCTTTGTCGGTATACTTTGAATCACTAAAATTTTTAATTTTGATGAGGTCCAATTGATCTTTTTTTTTTCTTTTGTTTCTTCTGTCTTTGGTATCATATTTAAGAAGGCTTTGCATAACCTAAAGTCACAAAAATTCACTCATGTTTTCTTCTAATAGTTTTATAATTTTAGCTCTTACATTTTTTTCTGTGATCCATTTTGAGTTAATTTTTGTCTATAACCTGAGAAAGGGGTCCAATTTCATTCTTTTGCATGTGGATATTCAGTTGTCCCAGCAGCATTTGTTGAAAAGACAATTGTCCATCAGATTATTTTGGAAGCATTCTAATATCAATTCATCCTAAATGTGAGGGTTTTTTTTTTCTTATTTCTAAATTCTACTTCATTGACCTATATCTCTATCCTTACACTAGTACCACACTGTCTTGATGTCTGTAACTTTGTAGTAAGTTTTGAAATTGGAAAATGTGATCACTTTCTTCTTCTGTTCTTCTTGTTCAAGATTATTTTTCCTATTTGCAGTCTTTTGCATTTCCATATGAATTTTAGAGTCAGCTTTTCTATTTCTGCAAAAAAACCAAACAAAAAACAAAAAACCTCCCGAAGACAGCATAGAGTTGGATCTTGCTTTTTAAATCCAATCTGACAACTGCTACCTTTCTATTGGATTATGAAATTCATTCACATTTAATGTTTTTAGTGATATAGTTGAATTTACATCTGCCATTTTATTTTTTGTTTTCTGTATGCCCTGTGACTTTTTGCTCCCTAATCCCTTACTGTTCTCTATTGCATTAAGTGAATATATTCTAGTGTATCATTGTAATTCCTTTAAAGATTTTTTTCACAATCTTTTCTGATTTTTTTTTAGTAGTAGCACTATGGCTTACCATATATATCTTATCAGAATTTACTACATATTTCTACTATTTTAATTCAAGTGATATATAGAAATGTTACTCCTATATACCTCTATTCCTTTTTCCCTCCTTTTGTATTATTGTTATCATACATATAATATTTATATTTGTTATAAACCCAACAATAAATTGCTATAATTATTATTTTATATAAGTTTATGTACTTTAAAGAAACAGAGAAAAGAAAGGACAGCAAGTATATATTTAGAATCTATTACATTAACCTTTTATTCTACCTCTGGGGAAGGGAGAGGGGCTGGAGACTGAATTAATCACCAAATGCCAATAATTTAACCAGTCGTGCCTTCATAATGGAACCTTCATAAAAACCCTAAACAAAAGAGTCCTGAGTGCTTCCACGCTGGTGAACACATTGAGGTGTGGGAGAGTGGCAAACCTGGAGAGGATATGGAAGCCTTGTGCCCCTTCCCACATACTTTGCCCTGTGCATCTCTTCCATTTGTCTATTCCTGAGTTGTGTCCTTTATAGCAAACTGGTAACAGTAAGTAAAGCACTCTCTGGAGTTCTGTGAGCCTTTCTAGCAAATTATCAAACCTGAGGAGGGGGTCATGGTGACCGCTGATTTGTAACTGGTCAATCAGAAGTACTGGGAGGTCCAGATTTGTGATTGGTGTCTGAGAAGGGGGCAGTCCTGAAGGACTGAGTCCTTAATCTGTGGAGTTGAAACAGAGCAGGACCTGGTGGGGCCCTCCCAGGTACAAATCCTTTCCACATCCCCCGTTTCTTATTTGCAGGAGATAGGCTTCATTCAGCCTCCTAGACCTTCCCTGAGTTACAAAGGGCATATTCAAACAGTAGCTAATCAGGGAAGGGAGGGAATGCAGAAACAAAGGAGAAGTCAAGAAACAATAGTGCAGCCATGAGGCAGGGTCCTGGTTCCTCCTCAAGGAATATACATAATAATGCCTTTGATTTCTGCTGAAACTAAGGTCCCCACCCAGGTGGAGGATGGTAATTTAAGGCTGAGCACAAGATTCCCGCAATACCACCCTGTTACCTCACCACCAGCCAATAAGGAGAAAGTCTGCACACAGTAGAAGATGAAGAAGACTCTGACACCTTCCCCAAGTGACTCTCCCTTAAACAACTTTCATGGTTGAGCAGAATCTTCAGAATTGGTTTTTGAAAATGAGTCCACCTTCTCCCCACGTTTTCAGCCTTCTAAGTAAAGCAGCCTGTCCTTTCCTACCAACACTCATCTCTTGAGTATTGGCTTTTGAGCTGTGAGCCGCCAAACCTGAGCTTGGTAACAGAATCAGCCATTAACCAGAATAATATCTGAGTCTACCTCCACAGAGCCTAATGAAGTTCTTCTGAGGTTTGAGAAATGTAAATACACAGTCTCTGGAAATGAGTGTTTCAAAGGTTAGAATGTCCTGGATGGTAACCAGGTATTTTGAAAAATTCAGTGGTCCTGAATTTGAAAGATCTTGGTTCGACTCCCAGCTTTGATACCAATACATTTTGTGTGAATCCTTTCTTTCTGTGGGTTTCAGTGTCTGCATCTGGAACATGCGGAATTAGGATTAAATAAAACAGGACAGCACTTCCACTTTATCTCTAATTTTTCCATGTTCCTGGATATACCGCAGAAAATGTGGGCAGAGCAAGGACATGGAACTCACCAACTGCAAAGGCAGTCCACGTGGAGATGGCTAGAACAAGGATGGTGCTGGAGAAGACCCTCTTCATGGGGGCGGAAGAGCTGTGGAAACATGCAGATTTTGACAGTAGGACAGACAATATTCCATGTGAAGTACAAAGTCTCACAGAGACCTCTCATTGACCAGGAAATGATGTCTAAATACTTCTTGTTTGTTCTCTCCTCCGGTCACTTGGAATGATTTGTGTCTGATACAATTAAATTGCTTAATTGATTTTCCTAGAATAATTGGACGTAAGAAAAAAATGATCTAAAAAGTAGAATTTTATAAGAGAATATGTATGTGTGGGTCTCTTTCTGGACTCTTTCTTCTGTTCCATTAACTATTTGTCTATACTTGAGCACAAACTATACTATTTTAATTATTATGGCTTTATGGTAGTAACTGAAATAAAAACACACAACATGAGAGCTGTGACTTTCAGTTTTATTTGGGGACCTACTGAGGACTATAACCTGAGAGGCTGCCACTCAGATAGCTCTGAGGAGCTACTCCAAAGTGATGAGGAGAGAGGTCAGTATATGTGTGATTTTTGAAGAAAGGGTACATCCAGTCGAGCACACATCTCAGTAAAAGGTTGTGGCTCATCACAAAGAACACATAACTCAGTTTATGATCTTAAGTACTTTTCTAAGTATGAGAAATGCAAGAAATTGGTCTCATAAAATTTTCTCCTGACGGAGGGTATAGCTCAGTGGTAGACTGTGTGCCTAGCATGCACGTGGTCCTGGGTTCAATCCTCAGTACCTCCATTAAATAAATAAATAAATGAACCTGATTACTGCTCCCCGACCAAAAAAAAGTAAGTATCTAAGTATTAACTGAACTGTCTGCGCTGCCAGTTTTCCCAGAGCACAGAGCGCCTCGTTCCTGATCTCCAACCTGAACTCCATTCAGGGCGTGTTGAAGGTCAGTGACTTCAGTGGCTAATGACTCAGTCCTTGTAGAGACAGATGGCAAGCGACACTTCTTAGTTGGCAGTATGTCCTGAGAACGTGTATATGAATTCTCCAACTTTGTACTTCTTTATTTTATTTATTCAGATTTTAAAACAATTTATTAGATTAATCTGTACAAGGGTTTGGATTCTAAGATTCAGAATAAATGTGTTATCTTGCTACCTTAAAAAAATAAAGAATTTTAGAAGATGCCAGAAAAAGAGCTAGAAAAGAATATCAGCAAGGGATCCTTTAGTAAAGAAGCAGCATCAAGAATTTTTCCATGAAGTGTTTTAAAGTTGAGATTTGTCTCTGAAGTAAGCAGGACAGTCACTAGGCAGTTCAGTGGCACATATAAGTCAGCAGACAGTAAGAAACGGGAAGCTTCAGAACACCGACTACTCACTCCCATATTCCTAATCTTCCAGAATATAATTACTTTGGTGTTAATATTTCATAACCTATAACATTATTGAAATGAAAACCATAGAGTATTTATCATCAGCTTACTTGCATTATTGAAAATATTACAGTACAGGCCAATTGACATTATTTATCTGCTATTTTCTATACATTTTCCAGGCAAATTGTATATCTAGGTAATTTCTGCCCAAGACCTTCCCTAAGTAGAAATAAATAATAAATAACTCTCTTCCTATGCAAATGTTTGCAAATTATTAAGTCCACTTTACCTGCTGTGACTCCCACAGTTGCTCAGAGAAGCTGGCTGGACAAGATGTTTTTTATCCCCAGTCTGTTGGTAATGAAGTAAGACTCTGTGTGTGGAGGAGGGGAATAAATGTCTTTTCAAGGTTGAGGTGCCTGGCAGCAGACGAGAGTGAACTGTGAAACAGAATGTTACTCAACATCCAGTTCTGCAAGGATTGAGCCATTAACCGCTGCAGTTGCTGACCGATAGTGCACTCTGAGGAGTTCCGGGTGAGAAATAGGAGGAGGCCCTCTGTGCTTTGGGCAAGCAGACCCCTGAGAGAGATGTCTATCTTAGGAAGAATTTTAATGCACCCAGATTCTTCCATTTTCCCATACAGAGAAAAGCACTTAAAATTTATTAACTTGAGTTTGTGTGTATGTGTGTGAATGGAAGTAATCTATTAACAAGATGTATGCTTGACTGCATATATTTCCTAGCCAAAAATCATATATAAATTAATTTCTCCCCCTATCTCTTCAAAGCAGTTCCCTCAGAACTACTGAGAGGCTCTCTCCTAGGCAATAGTCCTCAGTAAGATCCTTGAATAAAACCTAAACTCACAACTCCTATATTGTGCATTTTTCTTTAAGTCGACAGAACTTTGAAGTTAGGAAGTGTAGACCCAACTCAGATCTCTTTCTTCCAACTCCAAATTCTATGTGCCTGTCTCATGAGTTCTTATTTCAGTTTCCTGAGGGTAGTGTGTACTATCTACAACACTCAGAAAGATAGCTGTTCTCGTGAAACCATTATGGAGGTATGTCATACCCAATTTTTGAATTCTGACATTTTTATCTGTATTGCAATTATTATATTCAGGACAGCTTCAGATATTTACACAATAGTGTAAGTTGCTATATCTGTGCATGTAGTTAATTATTTTATCAATGGTCAAAACTATGTATTCACTTTGTTGAAATATTTAGAATGTTTCTAAATTGACTCATAGAATCTTTTTTCAATTGAAGTATAGTCAGTTTACAGTATGATGTACAGCATAATGTTTCAGTCCTTCATATGCATACGTGTATTCATTTTCAAGTTCTTTTTCATTATAGATTACTACAAGATATTGAATACAGTTCCCTGTGCTTTACCAAAGAAACTTGTTTATCTATTTTATGTATAGTAGTTAAAATTTGCACATCTCAAACTCCCAATTTATCCCTTCCCACCCACTTTCCCCACAGGTAACCGTAAGTTTGTTTTCTATGTCCATGAGTTTGTTTGTTTTGTAGATAAGTTCATTAGTGTCTTCTTTTTAATTTTTTAAGATTCTAAGCATGAGTGTTATCATATGGTATTTTTCTTTCTCTTTCTGGGTTATTTCGCTTAGAATGATGATTTCCAGGTCCATCCATGTTGCTGCAAATGGCGTTATTTTTATGGCTGAGTAGTATTCCATTATATAAATATACCACAACTTCTTTACCCAGTCATCTGTCAATGGACATTTAGGTTGTTTCCATGTCTTGGCTATTGTAAATAGTGCTGCTGTGAACATTGGGGTACATGTGTCTTTTAGAATTATATTTTTCGATGGATATACACCCAGGAGTGGGAATGCTGGATCATACGGTAAGTCTACTTTTCATTTTTTAAGGAATTTCCATACTGTCTTCCATAATGGCTATACCACTTTACATTCCCCCCAGGCAGTGTAGGAGAGTTCCCTTTTCTCCATACCCTCTCCATCATTTATCATTCGTGGACTTTTGAATGATGGCTATTCTGACCCATGTGAGGTAATACCTCATTGTTGTTTTGATTTGCATTTCTCTAACAATTAGTGATGTTGAGCATCTTTTCATGTGCTTGTTGGCCATCTGTATGTCTTCTTTGGGGAGATGTCTATTTAGGTCTTCTGCCCATTTTTTGATTGGGTTGCTTTTTTTTTAATATTTTGCCATCTTAATGTTAATATGTTATATCTTTCTCCATCCATTTACTTTTACTCCAAAGATGTCTTTTAATTAATCATAGTTGTATTGAATTCCCAATTCAATAATTCCAACATCCCTGCCATATCTGGCCATGGTTCTGATGTGTGCTCTGTCTCTTCAAATTGTGTTTTTTTCCTGTTAGTATGTCTTCTAATTTTTTCTTGATATTGGGTAAAAGAACTGCTATGAGTAGGCTATTAGTAAATTGAACTGTTTTCATAATTTCTTTTTCAAATTGTTCGTTATCAGTACAAAAACCCACAACTGATCTTTGTTTATTGATCTTGTACCCAACACCTTGATTTAAGACTTCCAGCTTCCAGAACTGTGAGACAAATTTCTGTTGTTTAAGCCACCCAGCTTGTGGCAATTTGTTATAGCAGCCCTAGGAAACTAATACAAGGGCACATCTGTGTAATCCAGGATATCCTTGTCTTAAGATCCTTAATTAATCACATGTACAAAAATTCTTTTTTTCCAAATAAGGTAACATTTAGAGGTTCCAGGGATTAGGACATGGTTACCTTTGTGTCTGGAGAAGGTGTGTGTGTGTTGGGGGGGAAATTAGCCTACTAAAGATGTTTTCATTTTCATTCAGTTTAATATAATTTTTAATTTCTTTTTATTTCTTCTTCAGCCCATCAGTTTTTCAGTTCTTCTTTAATCCATGTTCTTTTGGTTTCCAAATATTTGGGGACTTTGCAGATATATTTCTCTTATTAATTTCTGGTTTATATCCAATGTGGTCAGAAAACATGCTTTGTATGACTTGTGTACTTTTACATTGATTGAGAATCATTCTATACACCAGAGGATGGCCCATATTGCTAAGTGTTTCAGGTGCCCCTGAAAAGAATGTGTATTCTCCTGTTGATAGGTAGAGTGTTCTATAAATGTCAGTTAGCTCAAGTAGGTTGATAGTATTTTAACAGTTGCCTAAACTCAGCTGGTACCTGGCAGAGCAGGTAAACCATGCAAGTAACAGGTGACTCCCATTCCTTCTCCTTCTAGCATGTCCTTTCCTCTGTGCCTCCAGAACCCCATCCCAGAATCCCAAGCCTAAATTTCTATAATGATGAGTACTTCTTATCTGTACACTATTGCTTGGAGCATAAGTATTTACATATAACATGGGTTGAAATATATATCTATATCTACATTATCTACCTATATATACATATACATACATATATCTTTATACATAGAAATAATTAATAAATTGCTATTATACAAAAGTCACGAGATTCATATTATTTTGCAAAATTTATGGAAAATTTCATTTCTCTCACAGGAGACATAGCAAAGCCCAGAAATATGGATATGACCACTAATAAACACAAAAGGGCTAAAAGCTGGGAAACATGCATCCAGAAATACATTTGCATTCATCAGCCACCAACTTGGAACGTGAAACACGGACATATAGATCAAGGAGATAGAAGAAAGTGTGAAAAAAAAGACAAAGGTACACACAAGAATCACAATATTCTGGGTAGCCTTTGTCTTTGGAGAGAGGCTGAAGATGTGTCTAGGGCTGTGAATATATTTAACTTGCTGTTTGTGCCTGTAGAGAAAAAGCACCATGGAACTACTAGTCCAGACTAAGATCCCCAAGCACACCACATCAATGGAAGCATGCAGAAAGGCAAAGAGTGAGGAGGTGACAGGATTAACAACAGCACAGGAACAGTATCCAAAATAGTTCAGAGCGTTGTTTCTTATCTTCCTTGGGCCAGTCACTTTCAGAGGAACCACTATGTTTCCCAGAAGATGCACCCCCCAGCAAAGGAAATAGAAAGGCCTAATATACTTTAGGACTCTGACTTTGAGCTCAGCCCACTTGGATTTACTGTGAATGATTGTGATGGCCTGGAAAACACTCAGGAAGCAAGTGGAAGAGAGACAGATTTCCCAGGCCACCCTGTGAATACAAAACAAAAATTTACATCCATAGTCCTCCAGGAAATTGTTCCACCCAAAAGATACCATTGTCTGAGGGATTCCCTTGGAGAGAAGGACGAAACAGTTGGCTAAGAACACATGTTTGAATATATGGTCTGAGGGTCTTGCCCTGTTTCCTGTGTGGAAATTGAAAGTATAAATCAAAAGGAAGGAGGAATTCCCCAGAATTTCAACACCATTCTGGGACAGGAAGAAAATCCCCAATGTCAAGTCCCCAGAATCCATCTGTCAGTGGCTGCAAATGGCAATTTTATTCATATTCAGAGTTATCTTTAGAGAAAATCAAAGATTTATGTTAGTTACATTGCAAATGGAATAATGTTTATCCCAATTCCAGAAACTTTAAGAATAATACACTACTTAATACCCACATATTCTAGTCACACCAACTCTTGCCCACAGGGGAAAGTGTCATAAATCAATATTTACAATATATACTCATAAAAATTCTGAATTATTTTCTTATTTATATATTTTTTACATACACGCATACACACAATTACATACAAACATGTTCATATACTTAAATATAAAAATACATGCATGCCAGGAATTTTTACAGTGTTTTCAAATAAAATGATCATTTTACACACATTTTAATCATCTTTTTAGTGTCACATTTACTATGAAGATCCTACCTACTCATCTGGTACACTTCTTTTTTTTTTTAAATGGAGATACTGGGGATTGAACCCACAACTTCATGTGTGCTAAGCACACACTCTACCACTGAGCTATGCCCTCCCCAATCTGGTGTAGTTCTGTCTTTTTTTAATGGCTGTATAATATTTCATGACAGATATTAAAAAACTTATTCAGGTAGTCCCCTATTGATGTTTACTCAGAAAGTTTCCAATCGTTCTGCCAATACAGAAATTTTTATTACTGTCATCAATAATGGACACCTATATTTTGCTTACTATTTCCTAGGTACTCTTTTAAATGCTTTATGCATATGATCTCTTTTAATGATCAAAAAAAGTTAGGAATTAGGTGTGTTAGCCCTTGTCACTGATAAGGAAAATGAAATATTATCAGATGAAATAACTTGCCAGTATTCACCTATCTGATGACTAGCAGAGCTGGGAATTGAACTGGCTCTGAGTGTTTCTTTACCTTTTACACTTCACAGTCTCTCATATGATTAGCCTCGTTTTATGTTTAGTGAGTGTATAAGAACCTCGATGTCACAGCTATGCAGTGAGCTTATTCTTGTTCTTATGGCATAGATTCACAGGAGTGGGATGCTTCATCTGGGAACGGAAGCAGAGAGAGAAGGAAGACAGGGAGAAAAACAAGGGAAGGGGATAATGATAACGGTTTTCCAGGTAGGTTGAAACAGATTCGAATTCCACCAACAAGGTAAGAGCATACCAGTCTCCTTAACTCCCACCAGCGTTAGTAACTTCATTTCCCCCCAGTATGATGAGTAGAAACTGATATTGCACTGTGACTTTAATTTGAGTTTCTTTGCTCAAGTGAATTTCCCTGTTTTTCTTAAGGTTGAATCTTTTGGGTTATTCTTTATGAATTGAATATCCCCATCCTTTCCCCATTTTTCCCTTAGTCTTTCCTCAAAATTTTATAAGCTATTATCACCGTCTACCTAGTCAAATTTTGTAATCTGCAGAGCACATTCTTACTAGATTGATTATTTATGTATTATTTGTGTGCATTAATTTTGTTTATGGAATATATTATATGCATATTTTTACTTTGTATTTAATCAAATAATTTCATTAATTATTACATAGTTTCTGCTTTCTCATCTTGTTTGATATAGTTGTCCCTGCCCCTGAATTTTAGGTGCAGTTGTGTAGATATTTTTTGAAAAATTATATTGCTTTATATTTTTTGTTTGTTTTTTGAGGGGGAGGTATTAAGGTTTATTTATTTATTTATATTTAGAGGAGGTACTGGAGATTGAACCCAGGACCTCATGCATGCTAAGCATGTGCTCTAACCACTGAGCTATACCCTCCCCTCTATATTTTTAATTTAAATCTTTAAGCTATCTGGATATTTCTAATTCAAATATTTTTATTTAAATATTTAAGCTCAGTTTTAATATGGTTTAAGGGGACTATTTTTTAATATTTACATACACAGAAAGTTATGAAGAAGCTATCAAATTAAACATTTTACTATAAACTATAAATACTGTATTCTTATATATCAGTTTCTTATAAATATAGGGAGATACTTCTTTAGTCTTTATCTTGTTAACTATTCTATTTCTTCTAACTTTTCATTTATTTTTATTCATTTCTTCATTAATGGAGGAACTGGAGATTGAACCCAGGACCTCATGCATGCTAAGTGCTCTGCCACTAAGCTGTACCCTCCCCATTTCTTCTATTGTTGTTTTTTTCACTTATTTTATATACTCAAGATTTACAATATAACCCATTTCACTATTAAATAATCATGAGAGATTAAAACAGATGTTCAGAGATTATATTCAATTAAATATTAAAAGTATAATAACCCAGAGCTAGGCTATGTTTATTCAGAAACTACATAGATCTTGTGATAATAGGATGATAAAAGAAATGAGTAACTTACCTTTTGGGCAGAAACAAATTGTAAATGGCAATCAACACTGCAATTTTAAAAAAATATTTTTCCCATCTATCCTATATGAGGAGAGAAAAGAGAGAGGAAAGAACAATAAAAGAAACCAAGTAAAATTTACTTACATAAATCTACTTATGAGTGATATTTGTTTGTCTTTCAAAGCAAGATTAAATGCAAATGCTTAGAACTAATACAGTCCAATAAAAACATGAATAAAAGGTAAATATAAAGAAATGACTAGATCTTAAACCCACAAATAGCTTTAACAGTTTTGAAAATGAATTATAAATTTCTAGCAATTAGGGCAGCATGTTTTTGTTGCAGGAACAAGAAAACAAATCAATAAAACAAAGGTGAGAGTCCAATAATGGGAGTTGTCTCTTCTAAGAAAAGAAAGCAATTAGACTGCTTTGGACAGGAGCTGACTTGTTTGGTCTCCTGTGGGGGACGATGTGTCCAATGAAGCACACGTTAGTCAGCTGTAGGGAGATGCCCAGGAGGCTGTGCACCTGGGCCAGACAGCAGATGAGGAAGCGCTGGACCACAGCCAAGAGGATGGAAAAGCTGAATCACAGCAGACTTCAAACACTTCTGGGAAGAAGGGGGACTTGAGTAACATCCAAGCAAAGCACAGAAAACACATATCCAGAAGTGTAAAAAAAAAAAAAACATAAGTAACTATATATGGGATAATTTAGTAAACCAAGCATTCAAAGTAGACCAGTTCTCAGGTCAGTCACAAGATAGCCTCTCCTTTCAGACGTCATTCCATAACAAGTGATTTGTTACCATTAAATATTTCTCCCATCACCAGTTACCCAACTCGGTTATTCACTTCTGTTCAACAATCAGCTCATTAATACCATCTGTACCATGAAGGAAATGACGAAGAAATAGAAATGTGAGGATAAAAAAAATAGTAGGGGGAGCAAAAATATGTGTAGGGGCAGAAATAACAACAAAAAACTATCAAAGGAGACCATTTAAATCTCTGATAATTCCAAACTTACATCAAGATGTGTCCAACTATATACTGAAGAAAAGAAAATGGGAGGCTTCTCACTCCTCACAAGCACTTTGGATAAGAGACACACTTACTATCTCCTGAATTGTTTCAGGCTCTGAAACAGAGAAACAAACAAATCTCTGAGCAAATGCCATCAGAATATGGGAGCACAAAGATTTTATTCCTTTCAATATAAACAGAAAAATTATAATGTTGTTCCCAGTATTTGTCTGTAAAAAGAAACACTTTATAGAAGACGACACAGGAAAATTTAGAATTCTCAAACTACTTCTAAATTCACCTTTAATTAGAGTCAGTGTTGAACAGCAAATGGGTCTCCTTAGAGATTACCCCAATGAAATCTAAGCAGTTAGGGACAGAAGGATTCAGAATATCTGAACCTCTCCCTAAGTCTAACCCATCCTGCAGAACATTGTGTTCTAAGTTCTCAGAAAGTGTTAAGACACAGAATGCCTAAATGTGTGTGTTTATTGAAAGAAATGAACTCAGTCCCAAAGCACACATTTAATGGAGTATTTAACATGATGAGAGATTCTGAATTAGAAAATCATTGAAGTTTGGGGTGTAGAACACAAAGGCATGGAGTTAAGAAGCCTAGATGTTGTCGTGTGATAGAAAGATAGTATATTTTAAGATATCTGAAGACAAGTAGAGGGCTGGGGAGGAGAGAAAGAAAGGGAGTAAGCAAATGGATAGTTAGAGCCACATGAACTGCTAATAAAACAGAGTCAGAATATTATGAAGTCTTGTTTTCTTGTAAAAGAGAGGTATTTGATTATACATTTCTATTAAAGAATGTTTTCCCCAATGAATCAATGCTTGACTAACACTAGTTGAAAAACTAAATAATGAATAATGATAAATGAAAGTAATAATATCTAAAAAAGTGAAGGGAAGTCTGTAGCGGGATCTGTACTAGAGGGAGAAACCAGGGTAGCAGCACTCGAACGAAAGAAGAAAAATAAACAAGCAGCAAAAACGTAGACAGAAGCAGAAAAATTGAAGACAAACAAAACCAAGAGTCATCATTAAATGAGAGATGACTCACCTTATAAGCTGAATTTCCAAAGGACCTGGTTTGGTAAAATATGCTCCAGGGGAAATGACCTGTGTGTGTCTATTACGTAAAATGTCTGTTTGTCTAAAACAATGAGTCATTGAGCGCAGATGTTGAGCGCTGAGGTGTTAGTAGGTTAGAGAGAAAGCACGACGCAGTATAAATACACCAGCCCAGATGGGGCCTGGTTGAAGTTATTGTCGTCCATACGGCCTCTGGATTCAATTAAAAATTGAGGAGACATTCTCCCCCCTAATCTATCTATATACATTGTCATTTGTCACACAAACTTCGACACATTTCTTGTGCAGGCAGTGCATGCTGGCCACTCTGCCACGACACTGTATGTTTCAGTATCTTAGATTCCCTTAGAGCTTAGGGAAGGTGACAGGGTCACATTTTAGATGTGTGATGGGTAAGGATGAGCATAAAAGGTCAAAGAGGAGGAGGAAAACCCTCCACTTCATAGGCTTTGTGAAAACATTGGCAACAGCTCTGATATTATCAGCAAGTGTTCCATCTGCTTTCTTCTTGAAGCGTTTCCTAACCAGTATTATATGTTCAACATGCTCATATTTAACAGTGACTGATCCTGTCTCAGGCCAATAAATACTTAACCAAAGAGGATACAAATAGTGCTGCAAGCCTGAATTCACAGGCACCCGAGTGGATCTTGTTCTCATTTAAAAAAATACATTGACTCATCCAGCCAAAGCCCAGAGGGAAGGTAGGCATACTAACATATATGAAGTATTATCCATGTGATAATGACTTTGTCTCACCTGAACTATTTAAATATCTTGAGATGTGTTTGTTATAACCTTTACTTTGCAGATGGAAATCATAAGAGTAAATACTTTTATCAGAAAGAAGAGGTGGATAAATTCAAACCAGAAGACAAAGTAAGTGGTATCTTTGGCTGCCCAAGGAGAAGGGCCTAGGTTAGGTCTTCGTAATTCTCAGGAAACAATTAGTCCCCCTCATTGGAGAGCCCAGTCAGCATCTCTTTTCTAATGGTAAGAGAATTCTCACCTAACAGATGGCTGCTGCCAGGACACTGGCTCAGGGTGACAGTCTGTGTGTGTGTGTGGTGAGGAGCAGCCGCACTCTGGGTTATAACCCTGGGAACCTTGGACCTCATCTCCTTCCAGAGGTGTGATTATCATGTCATCTGCAGCAGGGATGACAGTTGCTGCAAAGGGACATCATGCTAAGTCTCAGAAAAAGACCTGTTTAATTATCGTAAACAATTACTGGTGATAATGAAAATGTCCAAAGAGACTGTCAGAATTAACTAGAAGAGAAACTTCCCAGTGATTTCCAGAGTGATGGGAGGCAGATATCCTCAGTAAATGAGCATTGAGAATCTAATTCCATTTTCCAGATAGACTGACGTTCCCTTGAGGGATTAATTTCCCTGGGTGGTAATTCTATACGCTTCCTCACAAATCTTAGGTACCCAGGCATCTGTGATATAAACAGTGAGATAGAAACAAACAAAAAAATTAGTGCGTCAGATAGGGCTGCCAAGGAAACAGAAATAAATAAGGACCAATTTTTTCCTACCAGTATCATTTTCACACGGAGGTAATGTTTTATTATGTCCAAAACTATTGAGAGAAAATTAATATAATTATATAGAAGTTGCTCTTGAATTAAGCACAAAGGAAGTTTTGGGGAAATGGGTGCTACAACAGCCTCAGTGGAACTGTGGTTTTGAAAAATCTAGGAGAGGGGTGGATATAACTCAGTGACAGAGCACAGGCTCAGTATGCACAAGGTCCTGGGTTCCATCCCCAGTATCACCATTAAGAAACAAATAAAAATAAATAAAACAGAAATAAAAATCTAGGGGTAAAGGCAAACATTGCTGTATTGGCAACCCTGTTAAATATTTCAGAAGTGAAAAGAGAGAGCGTTTTAGTGTTTATCCTACCCTCAAATAGTCCACATTTGTGTTACCAGATCATCCAGAGAACCTTCTATATCCTATTCATGACATCCAGTTGGCGTGATGTCATCAGTATAGCGGGATGTCAGAATGATCAAAATCCCTTTGGGTTACATTGTGACCTAGAACAGAAGAGTTGTCCTAGCCCTGTGGAAAGAGTCGAAAGTGAACTGCTTTCTTATCCAGGTAGGTGAAAATTGCTTTAGGTCATTTTTCCTGATACAGATGAAAAACAACACACTCTTCAGATAAATAGCCACATGGCACTCGCCAGAGTCGGGTCACCCAGGTCCCCATTCAAGCAATGGCCCCTGTGAACTGGTTCAAATATCAGAATTTTGTGAGGGCTCACAATTTTCCGCTTAGTCATTGACTTGAGTCTTCGGCAGTCCTACTCTGTGTCATTTCGTTTGTAGAAGAACAGTCCCATCACAGGCTGCCCATCTAATCTCACACCGATGAACAAGGCCTGCTTGCCACTGACAAATCCTTGTGATCACTTGACAGGTCTCCAGGTTGCAAAGTCAGACTTGTTTCCCCTTACAGCTATTCTACCCCTCTTGCTTCTGACAGTGAAGTGTTAGCACCTGGCTCCTGTCAGTGGAATTCTGTCCTCCCCACTGGCACTAGGAAGCCCATTTCTTGGTGGCTCTCCTGCCCTCACTGCGACCTTCAGAGGACAGAATCCCACTGCTGAGCTTCTCAAGAAACGCTGGCGCCTGCCTCCCTGGTGCATTCCTTGTTGCATTTGCAAGATGAGTGACCACTGGGCCCTCTCCAGGACCCTTAATGGCTGGGTGATGGTAATCTATCATCAACCCAGAACCATCCCAGTGGGTTCTCCGGGATCACAGAATAATTCAATTCTCACACGCCCCTTTGCCGATATCCTGACCCTCAGTGATTGCCGAGGCAGTCCCAGCATCTCCACATTATTTACTGCGGCATCGTCACATCAGATCTTTAGAAACCCCTGTTAGCGGGGTGGTGGGCCAACGGCATGAGTCTTCCCAGGATGTCGAATCCTGAGTCATCACAAGTGCCTTCATCTCAGTAAGCACTTGCATACCCAGCCTGATACTCCACTGCAGGCGAAAACCCTCACGACCCTCTTCTGCACCCATTCCTGGTAATACAAATTAGACACTTCATGCAGCTCAGTTGGTAAATCAGCCATTTCCTCACCAGGGCTCGGCTGAGACCTAACCTGGCGACTGGTCTGGAGCCTTGAGGAGGGTCGTACATGGGATTTGAGGTTGCAGATATCATCCTGGGAGGCAGCCACCTCAGGAGGCCTTTGTGTGGCCACAAGGTAACAGGAGCCTGCACTCTTCTAGCAAAGGTGAGAGAACCACTTTTATAGTAAACTTGGGGGATTTCTAGGGGAACCCAGGGGCTCAGGAGTCTCAGGGAAAACCTCATACACACTCCTCACCTTGGTGTCAGGTCCTTCTCCTTCAGCTTTAAGGGTCTAATTTAGCAGAGAAGACCTGTAAGTTCTGTGCGTTCCACATCATTTTAACTCCACTGCCTTTATCATTAAACCCTGGCCTAAAATTTAGCCCAGTTTGCCTTCTTGCTACAGGAGATGAGGGTCTGTTTAAAATGCTGCATGGCAAGATTTCTGGCTTTCACAGTGTTTCCTTAGGTTATGGATGGCCAAACACGCAATTCCAAAATGCTTTCAATCACTCTTTCCCCCATGCAGTTCAAATGCTGAACTAATACATAAACCAGTGCTTCCCTTTCCGTCCGTACCTCATCCCAGTCCACCACATGCCTTTCCAGTGCTCCCTGTGTGGCACTTAACACCCACAAAACAGTCCTCATGATTCTGGGCATCTTCGCTCATGTGGCCTGAGAGTTGCTGATTTTCTTTCACCAGGATGGTGGAGCCAACTAAAGTAACCAAAACTTCTAATATGGAGAGAAATGATAGGTTTTCCTAAATTACTTTCTATACAAGAGAAAGTATATCAATCATAAAGTAGAATTACAGTTTTTAAAAGACTGATCTTTTTAAAAAGCCCTTAGAAAAATCATAGTTACCTTCAAAAGACAATTTAAGTACCTGTTCTGCTAAGGATGGACAAAAATTTCCACCAGAAAAAGAATGAAATTAAATTGCAACAGGTGAGTAGACGCTACATGGAGGAATGTGGCAAAATCATCTTCCCCTTCCGTACTAGAGGTATCAGTGCCCTTTGCATCTAGCTGGAGTCTGAGTACCCATCACCCATGGACTGCTGCCCACACCAAGTCCTGTGTGTGACTGCTGTCAGGAAAAGTCACAAAGCTGGACCTGACTCAGGGAGCAGAGAAACAGTCCTCAACCTGATGGGAGGACCTAGAAGTCTCATTGTAAAGGAGCACCCTGACAAGGAGGCTCAGATAACTGTAACCCATTTTTGCAGTCTGCTCCAAGTCTAGATGTTTTGCCCTCCCTAGAAACAACTACCACTGAACATTCAAATGTTTATCAATTGTCTATAATTAGACACTTCCGTAATTTGCATACTTCCCCCTAGAACAGCAAAAGTCTATTGAATGTGTAAAGTTGTTTAGTAACTGGTGAGGGTCACTTGAGAAAGCCTCCTGGAAGCCTCATCTTGAATTCCTCGGGTTCATCAAATGTTTAACTGAAAAATGTTGATTTGTCCAGAAAAAGGCAAGAGACAGGTTGGGATCGTGCAGCAATACATATTATATATTTTGGGATATTTTGTCATGTCCTCTTGAACAAAAATATCTAATTCTATTTTTCCTAGGGCAGGAAAATATAAAACACAACTAAACCTCTTCCAACACCTAAGTGAGATCCCTGATTGTTACTTCATTCTTCATTTATGTCCGATGTGACTCACGTTTGTCTTGTCCTTTGGAATGTTGCTCCTGGGACAAACGAGTGTATTTAAAACATGGCTAAAATTCACAAGCACCCTCAAGAGAAGTCATTTTTTCCTACCTTTGCTGGTGTCAAGGAAATATAATTTTAAAATATTCCAACCCAGGAAACCTCTCTATAAAGGTTGAAGAAAAAGAAAATTTTATTATTGAATAAGCAATAAACTAGAACGTGATGTACATCACTGGTCATCCACTAAGAGGTTGCCAAGACAGAAAGAAATCTCATTCTTTTATTTTTATTTTTTAGAAGGGGACTGGTTATTAGGTTTATTTATTTATTTTTTTAATGGAGGTACTGGGGAGTAAGTCCAGGATCTCGTTCATGCTAAGCACACACTCTACCCCTGAGCTGTATCCTGCCCCCCACAATCTCACTCTTTTACAGTGGCTAAGCAGATACAACCCATTACATACATGTTCTCCAGATACACAGTAACTAGTCATCAAACAATAGTCCTCAGACAATGACTCGTCCTCAAGCAGGACTTGACAGCAGCTTTACTGCAGATAGTTCATCCTAAATTCACCTGTAATTGGGGTGGCCATCTATATTAGTTTATTGATTTTATATGAAGGAAAAACAGACTTCTCCTGTCTTTAGGACAGGAGATAGTTTTGCAACTGCAAGCCAGGTCCCTGCCAAAGGTAGGTGCCTGCCCTCCCCCAGAAATTGGGAGAAAAGGGTGCTGTCTTCCCTTGATGCTTACATTTCAAAAAGATGACTCCCAGGTCCCTGCGAAGGGCATTCCTGGATCATAATGCTGGCAAGAGGTTTATTTTGCTTCTAAAAAGATGTATCTGCATCTGGAAGAGGCAGAGAATGAACTTACCATTACAAAATTTCTTAAGTAAAATGCTCTAAGATAAGGGAAGGGAAGGAAATTTCTCCTGTACTTCCAACGGAGAAAATTAAGCCTCATTTTTCCTTTGTATTTGCCCAGACCTCAAGCAGGAGATCTTCTTTGTTGGCTGTGGTTATCAGTAACCATGGCATTCAGAGTACTTCCAAATCTCCTCAGGTTAGAAAGGACTCGCCCATTCCTTCACTCATCAGATTATAATTAAATCCTAGGTTTCCAGAAACAAGCCTGGACTATGATGATTCAGAAGTGAGTCAGAAAGACAGATTCCTTTCATCAAAGAAATTACTTTCCATAGAGGGAGGCAGACAAATAAGTGAATTTACTTGATACTTTATTTACAGTATAATTATAGGTGCTGTGAAGGGTAAGTGAAGATAAATAAAATAGCATAAAAGGCCAAGCTTGATGGGAAGTCTTATTTTAGAAAAAAACTTTATGTGGGGCTAGTATTTGGCTGAGGTGTGAAGGAAGTGATGGGAACTACAAAAGTAGATGAGGGTCATAAGCAAAAAGAAATGGAGAAAAACTGAGTTTTGGCCTAAGCAAAAATGAACGTAAATGACATTTACTTTGTGTGAGAGAGAACACAGGGAAAATGTACATTTGTGGGACCAGAAAGAATTGTTTTTCGACATGTGAAGTCTAAAAGATAAGTGTTAGGAAGATAGCCTGTTACATTGTTTCAAAGTCCCATTAAGTGCCAGAGAAGGATATTATAAACATTGGAGTCTTTCGTATATAGACATCATTTATACCAGGCATCCAGACATCCTTTTCTGGCTAATCATTTACACCAGGCATCCAGACATCCTTTTCTGGCTACGACAGAGTGGTTTGTGGAAGACCCATGCTCCCACGATAAACAGATTAAAAGGGAAATAAGATTTTTTAGATGAATCTGTATGACATCATCAGAGAGCTGCCTCAGCAACTAGGATCTGAGTGGGTAGAGGCCGAAGGGATGTGACCCGGAATAGGGGATCTGATTTTTGCCTGTTGGCTTTGGGCTATTCATAGCACAAGGGAGCCTGAAAATCCAGGCACAAGGAGGTCTGGGCAGAGCTGCTGCTGAGAGAGAGAAGTGAGCAAAATGAAGTGGCAAAGTTGAAATTTGTGGATGGCAAGGAAGCCAGGCTGTGGGTGGCCAATATTTCAGGGAAAAGAGGCAGAAGGACCAGACCCCAACAGAGGACTTCGTCTCTCCGTCTCCTCGAGGCATTTGCCAAATTCTTGGACTGCATTGAGTAGGGGACTAAGAAATTGGGCAGAAAGCTTCTAAAATAGCCCACAGTCTCACAGGGCTAAGGAGGAAAATATCAAATGAATACCTTAGAAAGTAGAGGGACCTTAAGTAAACACACTACACTTTTGGTTGGGGCACCTTGAGGGGCACACCAGAAGTCACATCTGGTGACTTGTCTTATCACCTTGCTATCTACCTGCCCAGCCTGAACACCTTGCTCGGTCTGGGGACCTCACTGTGGCCCCAGTGCTCACAAGTGTTGGAAGCTGCAGATCTATTCTGCCCACTACTGTGACTCTTAGCCCTGACCTCCACTTCCCACTCCCAGTATTCCTGCTCGGTCCTGGCAGCAATGTGTCTCACCAGGATCACTGCAGGGCTCACCCACCCCTCTGGCCTCATGATTCCACTTACTGTTCAGGATGCCCATGATGACCCTGGGCAGTGCAGCTCTCAAGACCTCCTGTCCAGACTTTTCTCACATTCCACATTTCCAAGTGCCCCCACTGCTGCCCCCGTGCCTGGCTTTCACCTTGTCCCAACTGGCTTCCCAGGCCTTAGAAGACCCATGACCATCCTGTAAATGAGATGCACTATGGGAGATTGCTTTCATCCATGTCAGGGAGAGTGCAGGATGGAGAGGACCCTGGAGTGGCTGGGGGTTGGCAAGACAGAGTGTGAGGACCAAGTCACATTCCCAGAGGTGGGGTTTAGGGATGGGAGGGAGGGGAGTAGTGGCACTCCTGCCCTGGGTTTGCTGACCTCTGAAGCTGCCATCTGTTACAAAATAGCTCAGATTCCTCCCACTGACGAGGAGGCCCCCAAGCTGCGTGGGCTCCCCAGGACACAGCTGGGTAGGGGCGGGGCACCCAGCAGTTGCTGGGCCTTCATGCCTCCCTGACACACACAGACGGCCCTACGGGTTGGCAAGTAGGTGGCCTGGCACTGCTCACCATGCCAATGTTCACCCACTGTCTTTTTCTCCTTCCGTGGGCTTCCCTGAGCATCATCAGTGGCATTGTCACTGGCAAAGCCCATTAGCAATTCCCAGGGAATAAGAATAGCATCTGGGTAATAAAGTCTAACTGTTTTTGTGTGTGCTTAGTCTAGTACCAGTTGCTCATAGGGTGCTTCTGTGGGGCGTAAAACATGAATTGCAAATCTTAGCTGCCATCTTCAAGCTCGCCCTCTGCCCTGCCCCAGATCTTCCGAGAAAGGAGTGTTGCATGCGTCTGGTGCCCTGGTTTTTGTATCTGCTGCTCAGAGAACAAATCCCTTGGTAGCCTGGCTCTGGTGGGCTTGTGTTCACAGGCTCCACAGAAGAGAACAAAGAAACAGTTGTTAACTAGCTATCACCCCAGGGCTCAGCACAGAGGGAGCAGATAGAAATGCCCATCTCCCAGTCTTCCCCTGGAAGAGATTGGTTTGCATACCTATAAAAGCTGCTGCCTGAGGGTCTGGCTTCCAATCAGCCTGAATCCGGGTGCCAACTGAGATCCTCCCCTTTGGGATGCTGACAGGTCTTGCCACATCTTTAACTACTGGGAGCCACTAAGAATAAAGTAGGCTGCTTGGACCATCACAAAAGTTTCAGAGACAACCAAGAGCTAGGGCAGGGTTGAACGATAAGTTTCATCTACAGGAAGCTACTCCTTCAGGACAGGGAGAGGTGGCTGTGTTACCTACTTCACAGAAACCAACACAGAGTCAAGCAAGAGGAAACAGAAGACTATATTCCAGACTAAAGACTGAGAGAAAACCTCCGAAAAAGACAATGAAACAGAGATAACTGATTTACCTGATAAAGAGTTCAAAATAAGAGTCATAAAGATGCTTACAGAGCTACGAAGAAAAGTGAAAGAGAGAGTGAGATCCCAAGATACAATCAGTTTGAAATCACCATTCCCACCTTACAGAGAGTAAGAACATGCAGCGACCTGAAAACCAGTTCTAACATTCGATGTCCTGGACTCTTCGAGCTGGAAGGAGGCTTATCACCAAGTTTCAGTCCCATCTGTTATTTGTCTAGATATCTTCGAATAAAAGTTTGGGATGTATATCAGAATCTAACAGATTCTAATGTGAACTTCTTGTTCATATTAAAAGTGGTGAATAGTCAGGATCTTGTTCATTCACTTCAAGTAGGTAAACCAAAAAGCAGCGACTGATTTAAAATTATTATTAACATTATTAATCTTAATACAATTAAATTTTTATTTTAATTTTACAACTAGTAAAATGGCATAGTTCAGGGAAACATGAACTCAGGGAAAGACTTATGAAGGACTAGAATTGTTGATAGAAAAGCTACCATAAGACCCTATCTCGCTTTAAACCAGAACTTTTTTTTCTTTATCACAGGTTCTTTCTAGTTAAATCACATTCTCTTCAAACAAGTTTCCTATGAACCTAATTCAGTGGAAGGAAAAATGTGGTCTTCCCATTGTTGTCAGGTTTGTATTTTATAGGCCTATCAATCTGAAAAATTTTCCGTTCCAAATTCTGAGAAAGAGGACACTTAATTGTCCCTGAAATGCCCAATCTGGCTTTGGATGAGGGAGTGGATAAGGTTCTAGGAAAACATGGTGGTTCTGAGAACTACAACTGCGGGTCAGGCTGGAGGTGGCAGTGTAAGGAAAGGGTCATCACCATTGAGCCTCACACAGGGACTGCTGTAGAAAGTACTGGAATCAGTTGTCAAGTTCTCAGGAGAAAAGTGTCGGGTCACAAAGGAAAGGCAGGACTGCAAGCCTTCTCAGAGGAGGCCTGCACCCTCCGCAGGGGTCTCTGTGGAGGAGCGTCTTTGATCTGTACTTTCTCCTTCCCCTGGAAAGTGACCACACAAAGGTGGAATCCCAGGGGCTACATTGGTGCTGGGAGAGAGGCCCTGCTGGCCAGATTCAGTGTCCCAAAATAGATCCATAAATGCGGCAAGCAGAATCCCTACCCCGCTGATTTGGAGTGTAAAGTGTCACGTAGGGAGTGAGTTTGACGAATGTGGGTGTGTTAGTTGAAATTTCCTAGAGATCCTGACAAGTTCATCAGCAACTAGAGCTGCCCTGGGTCCGGCCCTTTCAGCTCACAGTGCAGAAAGAAGGCGTTGACACTTAACAAACCAGTGTGCGGAGGGACGCCCTCCGCTGTGTGGACCCCGCGAGAGAGGCCGCAGTGGCGGCAGCCCTCGAGTTTGCACCACCTGCAGCCTATTTTTATCAGGGCCAGATGGACTGCAGACTTAGGCCAATCCTTTAAATTCAGAGCAACAGGTAGAGCAGAGGGCAGGCTGGCTGTGGGCGGGGCGTGTAAATGGAGGGCCGGTTGCCTGACGAGGTGTTGTTCAGAATCTTCTCCTTCCTGGACGCGTCCAGCTTGCTGCACGTCGCCCAAGTGAACAAGGTAAGTGCTTCCGCTTCCGCCGCGCTGTCTGAATGGACCGGCCTTGCCTCACACCCGTCCACGTCAGTCCTCGTGCAAGACCCCTCTCACCTCTCCCGCTGCCCAGAATCTTGGCTACTCGAGCATCACACCCGCACAGCCTTTCCTCATTCCTTAAATTTACCTTATTCAGACCCACCTTTTCAGGTCTGAAATGCCCGTGGCCCCGGGACTCAGTCGCTTCTCTTAGCGAGTTGGAGCCCCAGTCTGTAAAGCAGCAGAGTGCCGCGCTCAGTGTGCGGCGTTTAGCGTCCTTCGGTCCGAGGGCCTCACGTGTTAGTAAACGCAAATCAAGCCCGGGGAAATCCGCTTTCCTGCCGCTGAACTCTCGCGGGAATCCCGAGGGCTGTATGCGCGGTGGTAGCCGCTGCGGCTCCCCGTGCAGGGAGGGCTCGCCGGCTGGGATGGCGGGGCCGCCTCGCCGCGTGGGCCTTGCTCCCGGAACGACACGGGAGGAGCCGACGTTCCGGTACCAGCCGCCTGCTCGTCTCTTCCTTTCTCTCCCGTAGTACTGGAACAAGGTTGCCGAGAGTGAGCCGCTGTGGAGGTGAGCAAGGGAAGGGGCTGTGGGCGGCGGCGAGGCGGGAGGCCGTGGGGCTGCGGCCTGGGCCCGGGCCCGGGGCTCCCGTGCAGCAGCGGCGCCGAGGGGCGAACTGAGCGCGGGCAGCCCGATGGGACTGGGACTCTCTTTCCAGAAACCTGTGTCGAAGGAAATGGAGCTTCTGCACCTTCTCCCATCGGTGCCCCGGAGCACAGACGTGGAAGCAGTACTTCCTCAAACAAACGAGGCAGGAGCGTTGGATGGCGTCCGCAAAGCCCGAGAACTTTGTCTACAAGGCAGCAGTTGGCAACCTCGGTACGGAGAAGGTACCTGAGAGCAACATGATCAGTTTGTTTTAAGAAATCCACTATTGGTGTTTTCTGTGTTCTCAGGCAGTGAAGAGAAAGAATTAAAACTTAATGGGGGTGGGGGGCGTACAGATCAGTGGTAGAGTGCATGCTTAGGATGCACAAGGTCTTGGGTTCAGTGCCCAGTACCTCCATTAAAACAACAACAAACTAATTACCTCCCCACCCCCACCCAAATTTTTTTTTAAACAACAACAAAACTTAATAGGATGGGATTGCTCTGTTGGCTTCCTCCCTTGTACCCTGTGATCCCTGCTGTGTGCAGAAACTGGAATGATCTGTTCATAACATAAAATAAGGCCTGTTACTCCTTTTTTTCAAAACCTCAGACCTCCTAGAATAAACATTTTGAACAAAAAAGAAATGTTTCAATAACAGAAGCACTGTATTCCTGGTACCTCTTTTAAAATGTGGAACAGTTCTCTGATGAAGAGATTTTTTAATCCCCATTTTGTATCTGTGAAAACTGAGGTTAAAAAAAAAAAGTTGGCCAGTATCTCCCAAATGGCCAGTCTGCAACGGGAACCCATGTTTGCATGACTCTGAAGCCCAATTTCTAGCCTCTTCTCTGTGTTACCCAAGCCCTCCCAAGACAGTGAAGGAAAAATCTAAATTATTTTATCTGAATTCTCTTTATTCGAGTGCATCATCCCTCAGCTATCTGGTGGCCAAGTATTGTCTGTATTTTTTCCTAGGAATCTTGGGACCCATGGCTTATCTCTCAGGAAGTGGTCCCACGATGGATGAAGAGAAGTCCATCATTTGTACCGTGTCTTCAAAGCGTATGCTTTTTGCCTGGGATGTGCGGGAGGTAAGTCCAGCCAATAAGGAGCACGGTTAATGCTTATCTGTGTGTATCCTGTAAAGCACAAGAAACAGGTACTGGGAGAAAAAAGATACTCAGAATTGGTAATAGAAACAGGATTTCAAATCAGGTCTTCTAATTGGTAGCCTTTTCATTTAGACTATAGACATACAGAGAATTCACTTTTTAATATGTATCTCTATATATAAACTTAGGCAAGACATTTTCTATTGAATGTGAAATGACTTTGTGAAATAAAAAATCTTTTGTTCCTGAGCATCTTCATTACCTATTCTACTGCTTCTGTCAACTACTGGCATTTGTTATACTAGCTTTTTCAGAAAGTGGTCTCCAACTTTGATCACTTCCAAGGGGCACAAAGGTCTTCCATCAAGACCAGCAAATGTAGTGCAAGAAGCACTGAATATGGAGTTGGAAGACTCCAGAGTAGGTCCCAAACTGTTGTATTTTCTTGGCTTTCCTAGTTGGGATTTCTCTCACCTCCCCATAAAAATTAGATAATGATTTTCTACCACAGAATGTTCTAAAGTATGATAAATACTCTTATGAAAATAAGGGGTGACAGGAAAATGATGAGATAAATGTCTAGTAGAGTACTGTTAAACTTATACAATGTTACATGTCAATTACATCTCAATAAAACTTGGGAAAAAAGAAATTAGAAGGGTACTCTCTTGGATAACTTTCTCTAGAGGAAATCAGCCACCATATCCCTGAGAACATCAGTGGACAGGTCCACATGACAAAGAACTCAGATCTCCTGCCAACAGCCAACACTAACTTGCAGTCATATGAGTGAACCATCTTGGAAACGGATCCTCCAACCCCAGACAAACTTCAGATTTTTGCGTCTCAAGCCAGCGTCTTATTGCAACCTAGTGAGAGACCCTAAACCATAGTCACTCATAAGTCCATTCTTAAATTTTTGACCAACAGAAGCTGTGTGAGATAAGTGTTCATTGCTTTAAGGCACTATGTAATTTGTAATGCAGCAACAGATACAGTTTTCAATGCTTGGAAGTGGGGTGCTTCCATAACAAAAAACTAAAATGTGGAAGAAGTTTTGGAACCAGGCAGTGGGCAGAAGCTGGAAAGAATCTGAGGGAGAGTGTTGGGCCTTGAAGAGATTGTTAGCAGAAACTTAATGGCCTACCATGAGATTGCCAGTGAAGAATTAAAGTGTGAAAATGCTGTCGGACACTGGAGGAAAGGGGATCTTTGATAGCTGCAGAAAGGTTAGCAACACTGTCACCCATGGCAGTGTGAAAACTAGAAAATGTATTGAATGAACTTAGTGATCTTACTTATAAACTTTCCAGGTAGAATGCTGAATGCTGGCTTCTTCTTGCTGCTTATAGTAAAATGGAAGAGAAGAGGGAGAGGAGAAGGTATGGACTGTCAAAAGGGAGCCCAGAATTGCTGGTTTTGAAATTTCCTAGCCTCTCTAGGTGGCAAATGATGCTAAAATCTAAGAAAGGGACTCTAAGCAAGATCAATCCAGGGCAATGTCAGTAAACCATACAATAAAGTTGAAGCCAAACAGGTGGCTGCAGAATTCTTTATTAGACCACATAAAGATCTAAAGAGGTGCCTCAGAGAACTGCTGAATCAAGCAACAGTACTTTTAAGAAGTTTAAGGCATTGTCCTTGGCAGCCCCAGCAGAAGCCCAAAGTATCAAAGTATTTACCTCAGAGACTTGTGGATGTGGCTCTTGTCTAATGGCACAAACCAGTAAGACCCACAAGGTCTCTAAAGGAATTACATTGTCAGAATGCTACCAGCTTGGATTTACAGGGGTTGAGACATCACAAAAGGAAAAGAGGTCTTTGTTCCCACACTTTTACAGACAATAATCAGGCTTCAAAAACTACTCAGCTGCAGAAGTGGGCTACCATATATGGAAAGGGAAGGATGCCTCTGAAGACAGAAGCAAGAGCCTAGAGAGTGGAGCTGAGAGTTGCGAAGAGTCTTTCCCAGACCTTGACTCCTAATCAGCATGCTACCAGCGTGTTCTCTGTTGGATTTCAAGTTTTCTGTGCAGCCGTGATTCCTTGGTGCTTCCCATCTCCCCAACTCCACCCAATTTTTTCCCTCTTGAATGTGAGTGCCTATAATGTTATCCTGTGTCTACCATTGTATTTTGGGGATGTAGGGGACAGACAATTTGTTTACTTAGTTCTAAGATTTTCACATCAAGATGTACTGAATCCTAAGAGCCTCATCTAGACATAATTAGACCTAACTACCTATAGCTAATTAACAATGAGATCCTAGATTTTGAATGATGCTGTAATGGTATGAGGTATTTGGGGGCATTGGAAGATGGTGAGTGTATTTTGTTTGTGGGAGAGAGGTAACTCATTGTGGGTACACAGTGGACTGTGTCAGCCAGCCTTTGAGATGGCCCTCAGTAGTCCTTGTCCCATAGTATTCATGATCTTATGTAGTCCACTCTCACATCGAAAAGGGCTGACTTTTTTGTAACCAATAGGATATTGTGGAGTGATGGTGTGTAACTTCTGAAGCTAAATCATAAGACACTTCTCCCTCAAGTCATTGGCTCTTAGAAAGCCAGCCACAGTGTTCTGAGGACACTCGAGAAGCACTGCATAGGGGTGAAGTACTGAGGTCTCCAGCAGTAGCCAGCACCAATTTGCCAGCCTTATGAATGAGCCATCTTGAAAATGGAAGTTGACTTCAGCCTCACAAGAGACTCTGAGCCAGAACCACCTCGCCAGGTTGCACCTGAATTTCTAACTACCAGAGGAACTGTAAGACAACAAAAACTTAATCGTTGTTTGAAGCCACCAGATTTTGGAATGATTTATTACACAGCAATAGATAACAGGACACAGGAAAACTGTTACAGTGTTAGAAATCAAAATAGTGATGACATTTGGGGAGGGTGGGGGCTGGTTAGTAATAGAGCAAAAACAAGAGGGCTTGGGAGGGAGGGTATAGCTCAAGTGGTAGAGCCCATGCTTACCATGCATGAGGTCCTGGGTTCAATCCCCAGTACCTCCTCTAAAAAATAAATAAACCTAATTACCTACCCCCTCAAAAAAAAAAAACAAGAGGACTTACAAATAGTGATATTGGTTACTTTGTAATAATGTATTAACCTTTGTGTGTTCTTTTCTCTTTGTGTGATATACTTCAATTTTTAAAAGACTGAAGAAAAGTCTAGAAGGGAAACTCTTCTGTCTCGATGGCAACATACAAAGTTAATGATACAGTAACAATGTTCATGGTAGTTGATACCTCTGAACTCCTACTACCTACCAGGCAGAATTCTAAAGATGTTTCACATGTTGTGAAATGTAATGTAACAGCCCCATAAGAAGCCACAGTGGTAACTTGCCTAATGTCACACTGTTGGTAAGGAGCAGAACGGACTGGAGCCCAGGGAGTTGGGTTGCTCTTTATACCCATCATGCATTGAGTTCCTGCCTTGGAATATATTGCATAGTTCCTTTCTAAAGTTCACCACCCCTCAAATAATTGAGATGTTCAGGATAACTGTCTTATTCTTTTCCCAGAAGCAAGAAATGGATCTGATTGGGAGGAGGCTTCCAAATAAACACTGGCAGAACGAAAGAGTGGTGGTAGGTGTGAGAAGCTCCTTGAACACATGCGTGTTACTCTCATCCTCTAGGGCACAATGATCTGGTCAAGCCCAGTTCAGCAGTCAAGCATTATGCACCTGGCGACCCTCCCTCAGATGCATCTTGCATTCACCGTAGATTTGAAGGGAGCCATCAAAGTGTGGAATTGTCAAGATGAGGACACTCTGGCGACCCTCATCATGTCTCAGGCCTGTCTCTCCTTGGAAGCCTTTCTCACAAAGGATGGCCCATTCCTGATGGTAAGTGAGCCCTGAATCCTGAGAGGGCCCACAAAACCAAATGCCTGCTGCCTTAACAAGTGTTGTGGCCCTATTACTGTCACATCACAGTCTGTCTTCTCGGAGGTATTCCTATCACGTAGCCTGAGAGCCACAATATACCCAGTGAATGGTGGCCATAGAAACCTCCAAACCATCTTGGACGTTGACCTGCTTCAGGTACATTTCCCCAGTCATTCTTGTCTTTTTTTTTTCAATATAGAATATGTCCTCATTTATTTTTATATTATATATTTATGTTAAAATGTATACATGTTTATTATCAATGGAATGCTATTAATGCAATTTACACATGTGGGTTTCGTCTGATGTTCACATCAACACGTTTTCAGTTGGTATCGTTACTTCCCTGTTGGAGATGAATCCACAGAGGCTCCTCACTGTAAAGCCATTCACTCAAGTTGATACAATAGTTAACATTAGTAAGCCTCTTGGTCTTCCATATTTTGTTCCCTATTTTATTTTTAAAATGTCAGAGTTATTTATTTTAGTTGAAGTATAGTCAGTTTACAATGTTGTATCTATTTCTAGTGTACAGCATAATGTTTCAGTCATACACATACATACATATATTCCTTTTCATATTCTTTTTTCATTATAGGTTACTACAAGATATTGAATATCCCCCAGTCATTTTTGTTAAAAATTTTTTCCTGAATTATTTCATGTCTCTGTTTCATCTTCCAAGTGTGTATTATTGTACAGTACATGAATTTAGACAAGGACTATGTGTGGACAAGATGTGGTATTGGGGAGACACTGAGGAAAAGAATATTGTTGATGTACTAATGAGTAACTATGCTTGAGGAGTACTTTGGAGCTTAGAAAGTTTGATTTCTTGGGATTATCCCAACAACTTTGTGAGGCCGGCTGTTCAGAGGTTTTAACCTCCATTGTGATTGAGGAAATGGTGACTTATCTTGCAGATGACTGTGCTGACTTCTGCATATTTTACAACTTCATGTCTCCTGTTGACATGATAGTGATGCTCTGGTTTCAGGTAGGCACTTGTGAAGGCGACATCTACACACTGACGGTGCCTGAGTTAAAGACTGTTTCTAAAGTTAACGCATTTAAATACAGAGTTGATCTTCTCTACTGCTCTCCTGACAAGAGGTGGATCTTTGCATCTGGGACACATGAATGTATCTTGCCAAAGGTAGGTACCGCTCTTAATTTCAGGAGCAGTGGATCAAGCATGAGGAAGGCGAGGTTAGGCAGAGTTAGAAAAATGGCAGAGCTTAGTGAGGATCGGACATGACTGCTCCCTCCTCTCAAAGGCCACATCACATGTTGAATCCATTCCCATAGCCAAGAAACAATGTCTTTGAAGCAATAATACCCAGTTGCCAAGACAAATATTTATTAATATTTGCTCATGAAGCCTTAATGAGTCAAAGAGATGGAGGAGGGTGAAAGATGTCAAGGAATGAAGATGTTTAGTAACCTTATTTATTTCTACTTTCCTTACTTTACTTTTATCTGCCTTGGCTGGAAAGCACAAAGAAGCCCAGAAGTAAATAAAAAACGGATCAGCCTCTGAATGTCACTCTGAAGAAGTCTTTGGCCTTGAAGCAGACCATGTTTAGCATGTGGACTGGGCACCAGAGAACCAGGAGCTGAGAGAGAAGGCAGCAAAATCAAAACAGACCCTGACTAGTTCTCTGAGATTTTCCCCTCTATTTAGGCAACTGCATCTTGATCAGGGGTTCAAACTGGCCAGAAGAGAAGCTTCTGCTATGTGTGTCCTGACAGGCAGGATAGGAAGACAGTTTCCAGTGACAAGCAGTGACCACTCAGTGCTTTCTGAGATTCAGAGTAAACCTTTGGCTACAAGATGAGGACTTGGAAAGAGGCTTTTCTGGAATCACTCCTATACTGAGATGCTCTGACCTCCCCCTTTCATCTGACTACGTGTGCAATGCTCTCTCCATAGGTATTTTTCACTGAGTGCTTACTGAGACCATCAGAAGGCAGAACGCCTCTGTCTCTCTCTCTCCCGTTATCATCATGCTGCAGAGCCTGCTGGGCCCCAAGGAGGACAAACAGGGTAACACTGATGTTCCAAAAAGACGCTTTAAAAAAGACAGGATTCACCACCTTGGATCTAACAACTGAGGGGACTGGGGGCAGGACATTCATCCAAGGTAGGTAGGCTATGCCGCATGAGAAGCACTGGTTTCTCCCTATTCGCATGCTTTCATTTTCAGCCGTGAGTGTGTGTGAATAGGTCTGTCTGTGTAAAGGGGGCTGGGGATTTCTTTAGCTGGAGGCTGACCCACGCTGGTTTGACTCTAATGCCTTTGCATTCTGACCTCTGCACTCCACCCAGCTCTCTGGAGCATACATGTTTGGATTCCCATGATGCTTTCGGGCCTGGATTCCAGTGCCCCTTCCCTCAGTGCCCGAGCTAGGAATACAGACCTGTGTTCCCATGTTAGAGCCCCTATCACCACCGTCAGGGACACGTATTTGTCAGGCCACTGGCCTACCTTTCGTTTTCCTTACTGAGCTGAAGTCCCGTCGAAGCAGGAAATAGGTTTTTTCATTCAGTGTAAAGATGCTGTTCTGACTGAATGATCCAAAGTATGACTACATGTGTGTGCGTGTGTTTTGTGTGGAAACAGCACATGAGGTTGCAAGTTTCCTGTTGCCAGTTCACATGGAGAGTCCTATTTGGATGGGAGTCAGTGATGGAAATACGATTGTCTTTGAGAGTGGGCCATACCTCTTCCTCGTCAGCATCAGTGGCCACCTGCTGCAGCGGTTTGAGTACCACGACAAGACCATCTGCAACTTATGGGTGGTACGTAAGCTCCTTCTCCCCCGGCTCATGGCTCTGGCTCACACTCTGGGCCTCTCACCCACCGGTATCCTTTGAAGGATTCTCTCCATGTCCTGACGACATCCGTGGATGACTCTCTGCACGTGTACATGTGGGAAGAGGAAGGCCGTTATCCGTACCTCAGGAGCTGCTGTCACTTGGAACACATAGGAAGTGATCAGACACCGAGCTGGTAAGCCCTGCTTTGTGAGTTTAAACTTCCCCTAAAGATTTTAAATTTCTACATAGAAAAATGAATGAAAGGATAATAGGCAGTTTTTAAAGAGTCTTTGAGGATATACAGAAATAGACTCAAGCCCAAAAAGAGAATGGCTAGTTCTTGGAGTATGTCCACAACCCTTGCAGTAGATTCCAAAAAGCATTCCGAAATGGCTCTCAATTTATATTCCTACAAGAAGTATGTGGAAGATTTCTATCTTCATTATCCGGTCTTTGCTTGCAAGGTTTATATTTTTTTTGAGTTCATTAGTCATTGGGGTTGTTTCTGACACCTAATTTTTCCACTTATTTTTCTTCTCGATTGCTTGCTCTCCTCTCAGTTTTTCTTGAGATTGTTACATACTGTACATAGAGGTCTTAATCTTTTATATATTTTACAAATACTTTCTTTCAGATTGTTGCTTGCCCTTAAAATGTTTCTTTTTGGCAGTGTCTAACAAAATGTATATGCATAGAGCCTTTGAACTACCAATGCCACTAAAAAGAATTTAGTGACAGTACACCTTCAGCGAGTAAAAATACATCGGTTGTTTACTGCAGCAATCATTGTAATTGCCAAATATTGGAAACCACCTAACTGCCCAAACATGAGAGACTGTTTAAATTACTATGATATATCCACATAATGGACTATTGTGCAGCTGTAATTTTTCAAAATGGGAGAAATGTCTATTTAGATACAAAGTTATTTCCAGTGTTTTTGAGGCAAAAAATATTTTTAAAATATAATTAATGTATAATTATGTTTGGCAGATTTTTTTCATATTTTTTGCTCTCTGTACCGTATCTGAGAAATCTTAGCCTACTCTAAATCATAAAGACTTATTTTCTATCAATAATTTTAAATACTTCCCCTTCATATCACATATCCCATACCAAATAGCTGTTATCCATCTGAATTTTTTTTTAGAAGGTAGGGAAATTTTATATCTTTCCCAAATAGAATCCAGTTGTACAATGCACAGTTTGAGTTTTGATGAACATATAAAATCCTGTAATCAGACACACAATATTTCCATCACCTCTGAAGTTTTCTTATGTTCCATTATAATCTGTCCCTCCTTCCAACTTAGCAGCAGGCAACTACTGGTCGGCTTCCTGTCTCTATAAATTAGTTTATTTTTTTCCTAAAATATTATGTAAATGGAATTATATAGTATACATTTCTTTGTGTCTGGCTTCTTTCAAAGAGCATGGTGTTTTTGAGATTCACCCCTATTGAATGTATCAGTAGTTCACTCTTTTTTGTTACTGAGTAGTGTCCCACAGTATAGCTAGCTGTACCACAGTTTATCACTCCACCAGTTGAGGAATATTTATGTTGTTTCTAGTTTGGAATGATTATGGATAAAACTGCTAGAAACATTAGTGAATGGTTTTTTTTTGTATTTACAGAGTGTTAACTGTTAATTTATGTTTGACTTGATAAGAAACTGGAAAACTCTTGCCCAGAGAGTTGTATGTTTATTCATGCCCACCAGCAACATATGGGAGCTCCAGTTACTCCATATGGTATTGTTTGGTTTTGGGTTTTGTTTTGTTTTGTTTTGTTTTCACATTCTAGTAAATATATAGTGATACATTATGGTGTTTTTATACTGTATTTCCCCAATAATGTTGACCAACTTTTCATTTACTTATTTGCTATCCAGAATTTTCCTTGGTGAAGCATTTGTTAAAAAATTTGCCCATTTTTAAAACAATTTTATTTTGAGTTATAGTCAGTTTACAATGCTGTGTCAATTTCCAGTGTAGAACACAAATTTTCAGTTACACAGGAACATACATATATTCATTTTCACATACTTTTTCACTGTGAGCTACCACAATATCTTGTATATATTTCCCTGAC